AGTCTGCCCTGGATGGGGTGGGGACGGCCGGCCTGGCCAGAGGGAAGGGGAGGGCAGCGAGATGGAAAGATACTTCAGAAAGTCCCCTGAGAGGCGCTGAGGCCAGCGCAGAGCACGTGGGCTCTGTGGTTACACTGACCACTTGCCGCTGTGTAACTTAGGCCAGAGACTGCAACTAGTTTCACTTTTCCTCATCTGTAAAATGAAGAGATAATTATACCCATTCACAGGATTGTTAATAAAAATTAACCGAGATATACAAGAGCACCTGGAACATCATATGGGGTCAGTGAATGATCATGGTGGTTATTATTTTAACGGATAACCACAGAGTGCCAGGGAGGGGGGCTGCGTGTGGGGTTGGGACAGTCCTGGCGGACACTGGCCTCTGGTCCGGAAGTCATCACTGTGGGCGCCCGATCGCCTTCCTGCCACCCCTCTCCGACTGTGAGTGGCCTTTCCTGGACCCTCTGCCTTCGGGGTTCGAGGTCTACAGGGTAACTAAGTGAGATTAATTGATCTGGCAAGCGTGCAGATGGGGATGGTGGAGGGGTACAGGCGACTTGTTCAGGAAGGCCTGTGGGGTGGGTTTGCACCAATGGTGGCAGCTTTTGGAGCATTTTGAGAGACACCCAGCAGACGGTGATCCAGCCAGGACACTGAGGATGGTGGTTCGCCCTGCTTGCAGTTGGACTTCCTCAGTGGTAACCTGGGTGTGGGAACTTGGAGGTGTTGAGAGATACTGACAGGAAGACCCTGGAACCGCCCGCTGCCGGCGTTGGAGCGGTTCTGGGAAGGGTGAGGTCACGATGTTGATTTACACCTATTGAACCCTGGTCCAGTGGATTATGGAGTAAGCCTATTCACTTAAAATCAGAGTAGAGTTTGTGGGAAAAACAGAAGTCAGACAAATCCCAAACAAGCCCTTCGATGATTTTACAGGTTCTGAGTTTATGAAGGGCCTCGGGTGCCCACTGGTTGGCTGTGCCTGAAATGTTCGCTTCCTGAGCTGGGTCTGGAGAGTGAGGGTCCATGCCTGCTTTTGTGGCCGGAGCAGTGCCCGTTCCTTCCTCAGGATGCACCGGGCCCTGCAGGGAGTCTCTGCCCCCAGGAGGCCACACTTGGCCCAGGGGTTGCTGAGGTTGGGAGCACGTGCTCCTCCTTCCTGTGGCCTCCCTTCCTCTTCCTCTTTCCTGCTTCCCCCTCTGCTTCCCCACCTTGTAGTCAACAGACAAGGTCTGAGCAGCAGCTGGGGCTAGGGTTGGAGCGCGGTATGTGCAGACTGGAATATTTTGAGGAATGGGTCGAATTTCTGCCCACAGAGAGCTCTGGGGCCAGGTCTATGCCAGCGTTTTTCACAATGGGGCTGTGACCCATGAGACTTAAAGTCACCGCGGGGTGCCCGGCCACACACAGTCCTGCTTGCTGAGGGGTGTGTCAGGGCAGGTTGTGCTGTGTCCACTCCCAGCTGGGAGGTGCCGACAGCTTTTACACACCAGTGGTTGTGGCTATACTTCCTGATGGATCTCTCAGCCCACCAACCAAAGTTTGTGATTCTTGCAGCTACTCAGAATTTTTGGCTATTGCCGAATGCTGGGGCTTTCCAGAAAAAAAGCTACAGGCCATTAGAACAGACGCTTTGCTGTGTGTGGGCTGCCCGTTTGCTCCTGAGTGTGAGGTAGTTTGCACTGGTTCACAAAGCTGACCACAGACCCGACACACACCCACACACCTGTTTGCCACCGACAGCGCTTGTGCCCCTGGGCCTTATTGCCTGGGAGCCTTTGCCAGTCCTTCTCCTCTTGTCTCCCTGTACTCGTGCGCGCTGTCTTCTTGGCGAAGTCTTCCTCCGCATCACGGATCTTACTGGGCTGTAGGTCTTTGGCTTACAAAAGACAGGAGATGAGCAACGAGGACTATAGGGTGACAGGGCACCACAGCCCAACAAGGCACACGCCCAGACGACTGTTTTGGCAAAAGAATGTCCTTCCAGTGGACTCCGCCATCTGGGAATGATATCCAGTCTCTGGGTGGCTCAGATTTTGGGCAAATGAAAATGTATTACCTCCCTAGTGGAATGTAAACATGGCCTTCTGGTATTTCTGTATTAATTTTAACCAATAATATTCTTTGCCTCTGTACAGTTTAAACGGGGGGTAACATACAAAACACTCTCAAGAGACTGCATTCAAATCCGGTTTTGTCTGGAGCCGCAGGACTAGCACTTGTTTCATTGGTGCGTGCACATTGGAAAGCACTTTACACATACTACCTCACAGCAGCCCTGCGGGTGGGTTCCGCTGATGTCATCCCATTTTATGGATGCGAAACTGAAATACAGAGAGATTAGTAACCTGCCGATGGTCACGGGGTTAGTGAGAGGTAGGGCTGGGATTTGACTGTCCCCAGAGCCTGCGCTCTTACCTGCTGAGCTGTACGGTCTCCTAGCAGGCAGCACTCTCGAGCATTCAGCTTGTGTGTGGCTGTCTACTAATTGCTGGGGTGGGGGTGGGGGGTCACATGGAAGTAAAAATCACCAGAGCAGAGCATTCTTTTTGACTAAGACACAGGTGTGGACAGAGGGCTCTTGCAGGTGTGCAGAGAGCGCATGCCATTGGGTCTTCTAAGGGAAAAAGTGCAGTCCTCAATTAACGAGCTAAGTAATTAAGAGCCACAGGATTGGAGCCTAAGCCTTGGGCTATTTTGCTGAGCACAGTGGTCTCTCTGTATCTTAGACGTCTGCACCCACTGCTGTCCAGGCCGTTTGTGTTTTCTTGGCAGGAACCTGAGAACACTCATCACCTAGGATTATAATATCCCAGCATTGCAAAATCCCAACGCTCGAGGAGCTGCGGTCACCCGTCTGACCTTCCAGCCAAAGCAGGAGTCTCCCCCAGCACCCTCTTTTGTCTTAGTCATGGGGAGACCTGAGATTGAGTGGATCAGAGTTTTCTGTCCCTCACTCCTAGTTCTCTGAGGTTATTACAAATTGATGTTAAAGTAATACATGCACATGTGATAAACAAAAGGTAGAAACCAACACTATGGGAAGTATTGATGATGAAAAGTAAAAGTCTCTTCCTCCCTTTTGCAAGGCCTGGTCCTCAGGGCTGAGCCCTGTGAACCTTGTTTGGTGTGTAGCTCATTCTAGAATTTTTTTGTGCATATCAAAAAATATATAAATGTAATTATTACAAAATGGATTCATAGGCTGGGGGTGGTAGCTCATGCCTTCAATTGCAGCACTTTGGGAGGCTGAGGCAGGAGGATCACTCGAGGCCAGGAATTTGAGACTAACCTGGGCAACATAGTGAGACCCTGTCTCTTAAAAAAAAAAAAATTAGGTGGATGTGGTGTGGTGCACACCTGTAGTCCCAGCTACTCGGGAAGCTGAGGCAGGAGGATCACTCGAGGCCAGGAATTTGAGACTAACCTGGGCAACATAGTGAGACCCTGTCTCTTAAAAAAAAAAAAATTAGGTGGATGTGGTGTGGTGCACACCTGTAGTCCCAGCTAGTTGGGAAGCTGAGGCAGGAGCATGGTTTGAGCCCAGGAGTTCAGTGAGCTACTGAGGTTACAGTGAGCTATGATAATGCCACTGTACTCCAGCCTGGATAGACAGAGTGGGATCTTGTCAAAAATAGAAATAGAAATAAAAAATTAAAAAAAATAATAAAAATAAAAATAGTTCAAATTATATTTTTGTGCCTTTTTCATTCAATATATTCATTTTTATGTTAATATTTTTATAAGTACCTCTCCTCTCCATTTTATTAACAGCCTCATAATATTCCATTACATGATGTGGATAGTCCATAATTTATTAAACCAGAGTTGTGTAGATATTCAAGTTGTTTCTAATTTTGTCCATTACTATCAATGCTTCAATTACTGTCTTTGTACATGGATCCTACTGTATTCATAGGATCAGTTCCCAGCAATAGAGTTGCTGGAGTTTGCTAACATGTGCCCAGAGGGTAGACACTGCCATGGTCCTTACCCCAGCTTGTGATGCCACCAGCGGAGAGGAATGAGTGCCTGTTTTTCCCACTGTCACCAACCCTGGGGTTTTTACCAAATGCTTTGATTTTGGACCCTCCGAAAGGCCTCCTTTGACTTGAATATCATTAATTGTGAATGGGGTTGAATATCTTCTCTTGTATCATTGGCCAAATGTATTTCTTTCTTTGTGAACTCTCTCTTTATACGTTTTGCCCGTTTTTTTCTGTTGGGTCGGTCTGAGGCCATTTGAAACTTGACCTTTATCTTCTAGAGGTGGATGATATTGGCAAAACATACGAAGTTATGAAAGCTGTGACGGGGGTTTTGAATTTTGGCAGTTCCAAGAAAGCAGTATTTCTTGGCAATTTGTGAAAGTTTTGGACTAAATGCAGAAGTTTCTAATGTCACAGGTAGGCACAAAATCATGAGACTGCCATCACTTCATCTTGACAGGGCATTAACTGCGCTGCCCTTGCTGGAACCGCACGAGGACGGAGTAACAAATGCTCGTGAGCATCTGCCGTGTGCTGCAGTTGTATGGATGAGCTTAATTCTGGGTGCTCCCTCCTGGGAGGGAGGCCTTGGAGGAGGACAAATCTCCCCACGCCACCCACAAGCTCCCTACAGGAGCTCCCTGTTTGTCTCACCTGCTTAACGCAGCCAGGGCTTTGGTGGCTTTGGTGGCTTTGGTGCTTCGTCACTTTTGTCAGGAATTGTTCTGATGTGCGGGCTTTTTAAAGCACCTCTTAGTGTTTCTAGTAAATTTTCATATTTTGGATAATGTCTCCTAAAGAACGCTGACATGGCCATAGTCCCTGAATTCCCAAGGGCGTCGACAGTCTTCTGTTTAAGAGGCTCCTCACGGCGCTCTGTTGAGGACAGTCTAACCGCAGGGGCTGCCCACCGGTGGTGACCCGTACAGCACAGTGAGGGCTGCCGCCCACGTGGCCCGACTAGCAGTCTGCACACTTTTCCCTGCATCAAGCTCCGTCTGAGCCAGATGTCCTCTTTTGTCATTTTTAGGTAATTTATCACCCTTAGCAACTGTGATAAATATCAATCCACAGTGCTCTGAAAAAAGACCTCTTTTTTGCCATTAATATAAATTACAGGAGGAAGTTACACTTTTTATAAATTTCATTTTCATGCAAGTCTTATTGGTCATTATACCATTTTCAGGATTTCTTAGAAGTTGCCTTTTTTTAAATACTTTGGATGAAAACCTGCATTTTTCCTGTAAACTGCCGAGGTAAGTGTGAGCTCAGTGAGCACCCGTAGCACGCCAGAGACATGCACTGGAGTGGGCTCAGAGGAAGGCGGCTGGGGTGGTGAGTGGGAGGCCCCGAGACAGTCCCTGTATGGCCCGATAGGGGAGCTGACTGCACCTTCCCTACAGGAAGGGCGCCAAGGGCCACTGGGTGGCCGTCCTCATGTGTTGGTGGCCCCACGAACAGGAGCCGGCTCTGTGTGCAGTGCTGTTATCCTCCTGCTGCTAACAGCAACACAAATGTGCAGGCCCATCCCAGCCTGATGTTGGGTTGGCTTTGAATCAACAAGCTCCCCGGATATGCCTTAAACCTGACACAGGAAAGTGACTCCCAGGGCTGGGAGCCACTTGAAGTCCAAGTGGGTCCTTGGCTTCCCGCAAGAAAGAATTCAGGAGCGAGTCACAGGTATGAAGTGAAAGCGAGATTTATATAGAAACTATAGAAAGTCTACCCCACAGACAGCAGAGGCAAGGTCTCCCTGGTTCCTGTTGCCTTTCTGTTTAATTGCCTTTCTGTTTAAGTAGTGGCTTAATTATAGGCTAAATAAGGGGAGGGACATTCATGGAAGGGGATTCATAGAATATTCATGGATGTTTCAGCATCTTGGTTCTAACCGGTTGGAACTTGCTCTGCCTCCATCCTGTTTTTATCAGCCTAAGTTGAAACTTTGTCTTGAGACTTCCTGACTCAGGCAATGCTGCCGCAATGCCCAAGGCAGTCCCTAAAGCAGTACCTGCCAGTTCCCTGTCTTGGTCCCCCCTCAGAGATAACACTCCCCCTTAGTCTTAAGGGATCGTAGGACGAAAGCTTGTCTTCTGTTTCTTCTTTCTGCTGGTCTTTTGGGCATAGGCCCTGCCTAGCACAGGAGGAGTAAGAATCTCCGGAAACCTGGTCTAAGGGGCCCAGTGGCAGGATGCTTCCATGTCCTGGATCAGCTGGTAGGATGGGTTGGAAGCCTTGTATTAGCATCATCTTGAAGTGCAATGAATGTAACCCGTAAGATACAAATTTTACCGGAGGGTTAAACAAACGTGGTCCAAAGATTGAAAGAAGAAGGATAGCTAATAAGGGCCTCAAGAAGGGAAGAAACCAAATGATACTGGGCAAATGTCCCTTAATACTGTGGTCCCCAACCCCTGGGCCTTGTCCCGTTAGGAACTGGCTGCGCATCACCACCTGAACTCCCCCATCCCCCCATGGAAAAATTGTCTTTCATAAAACTGAGGAACCAGGGCTGTATAGCAGGAGGTGAGCAGCGGGCAAGCAAGCAAAGCTTCATCTGTATTTAGTTACAGCCTCTCTCCATCACTGGCATCACCGTCTGAGCTCTGCCCTGCCCGTCTCTGGAAAAATTGTCTTCCATGAAACCGGTCCCTGGTGCCAAAAAGGTTGAGGACCGCTGCCTTAATAGAATCCCAGATGGTCTGGGCAGTGGGGTTATTGACCTTATGTAGCCATATAGCTTGTTGAAGGAAAATGTCCTTTGTTCTACCTCCCCTGAATTATTAATGTAAATACGACAAGCGGTGTTTGCAACAGCACTTACCATTGCCTGTTCGGCCAAAATGCAACATGGTTATTCTCCTATATCCAAGATGGACAGAAAAGGTCTTTTCCAGGGGGAGGAGGGAGTATAATGTAAACATGGTGAACAACTAAGGCAAAATGCAAGTTTGGTTAATAACTGTGCAAGTAACTTGATTGAAGTCACTAGCAAGCAAGCAAAGTCACGATAACCAGTAGGTTATTAGGAAAATGCTAACAATGATTAAGAAAAGAAGAGCCAGCACATTCTTATCAGCCATTTGAATGGGGGTGTTACTTTAGCTTTCTTGCTATCTTTGGGAGGCAGCCTTGTGAAAGGTACCTGAGGTCCTCTATGGAGTAGAGGACCCCGGCAGGAGTGTGCCGGCTCCTCTGTGCCAACTGTGGGGGCCCATGAGGAACAGGTTTAATCCTAGACAAATGTTCCCAACTAGGTAGTTGTGATAATGACAGGAAAAAGAAGTTTATAGATAGCTAAACATTTAAGTTATCTAATCGTAAATTTATATTAATTTAGATAGAAGCGAAGTTATTAAATGAGTCTTAATGTCTCTGAATACAGGCCTTGGTTTCATGAAAGCGGTTTATTTTGATTGTTGTCTTTTCCTGGGTCTGAAAACAGGACTTCAGTTCACCTGAGTTTGGTGTTAAGATACCCGTGAGTCAAGGTCCTGTAACTTAATAGCACAAGGGTCAGTTAACAGTATTTGACACCGACGCTCATGGAAGATGTCCCGTTTCTCAGCTTCCCAGTCAACAAGGCAATAGTGGCCAAACCTCGCAAAGTCCAGGTTGGCGCAGCTGCGAAAGCACAAAGGCTAGAGGAGGAAGAGAACACAGCAAAACAAATGTTGCAACACACAAAGTACAGAAGGCTTCAGTCTGAGAATAAACGTAATACTATAATCTGACTTGAAGAAACTGCTGAGGGTTTGGGCAAAGAGAAAAAAAGCAAGAGTAGCAGCCTGAAGGCCAGCAAGAAGAGACCTCAGGCAGAGTAGATTTTTGTGTTCCCAAGCAGCCTAGACTCACTATAAATCCAGCTCACTTAAAATGCCAAAGATAAGGCTGGGGTTTGAGTCTGGGAAGCAAACAGCCTCAGGAGCGACAGCCAGCCAACTGCTGGGACAATGAATGGGTCTCAGTATTAGGGCAAGCAAAGACGGGTCGTGAGAACTAACAAGTGTAAATAAGGTGATGAGAAAGAACACTGGCAGAGGGTGCAAGATGATTGGGTTTACAGAAAAAGAAAGCAAATCCAGGAATTCCTACATGTCCTCAAGGGCCCTATTTCAGCCCTTTAATTTGGGGATATCTGATTGTCCCCAAGGGGTCTATTTTAGCCCTTTAACATGGGGAAATAGCCAGTTGTTCCCAAGGAGCCTATTTCAGTCCTTTAACTTGGGGTCAGCAAAAAGAGAATCCTTTCCCAATTGCTAAAAACCCCAGGGCACCTGGGGGGAAGCATGAGACCTATTTCAGCCAAAGTGTGTCCCCAAGGGGCCTATTTCAGCCCTTTAACTTGGGGTCACTGAAACAACCTGGCTCTGGTGTCTCCAGAGTCACCAGAATCAGGGACTTCTGTATAATAACAGAAGAAAGAATTTCAAAATAAACAGGGAAATGACCTGCTTTATAAAGAATGGAAACAGTTGCCCAAATTGCTAAAGTAAAAAATAGAAATGTAGATGTAGAAGAGATCGAAGAAGAAAGGCAAAAGGAGACAGTTGGACTCCTGCTTGGTGTGGGAACAAGTCCCCACCAGCTCCCAAGGCTGGAGTCACCCAGCGCCCGTCAACTACTTGAGTCTGCACGACGTGACGTGGAGATTAAACTCCTGCCACCCATTCCCGAGGGAGCTGTAGTTAGACAGGTGGAGTGAGTTTACATCCTTTAATTCAGAAAGTAAGTCTTGAGAGCAGAGTCGGAAAGAGAGATGAAATAAAAGGGAAATCAAAAAGAAACTAAACTAGACAAAGGGAGACTTACCCATCCTCCTGCCTACCCCTGCTCCTGTCCTTGTTTTGCCAGAATGGTCAGCAGAAGGAAATAAACCTCACTCGAGCCCTAGTCCTTCGCTCCAGGGCATCCATCAAGAAACAGCTTTGATTCTGTATCTTCTGTTTCCATTGCACCAATGGAAAAGGTTCTAAACCAAGAAAGCACTTTTGCTTTTGGAAATCAGTCACTATATAGATCTAATGCAATTAAATCATTCCTGAAGTACCTGGCATAATAGATAAATGTGTAAGATTAGATTCCTGGCAAATGTTGCAGAAGGTAGTCAAGGAAGACATGGGAAGTTGTTAAAGAAAACGTGGCCATAGAGGACTGCGGACATTTCCCGGGCCCCCGTGATGGGCCAGGCACCACGTCAGAAATGAGCAAACCCTTGTCCCTGTCCTCAAGGAGAGCCAGCATAGCTTGGTGGACAGGTGTCTGTTCAGCCACTTGACGAATGACAGCCAATATCTATCGAGCAACTGCTCCGGATGGGAGGCAATGCTGTTGACCGGGCTGGAGGGCTGAGTTTAGTTTGAAAGATGATGAGCTTGTCTGTGAATGAGGCACACCCTGGACATCTAGGGGAGGAAATTGAGGAGGCAGGTGGAACTAACAGATTGAGGAGTAATTGAGGAACTCTTGTGGGACACTTAATTCTTAAAGAGAAGAAAGGCTAATAGGAAGACAAGTACAGTTGAGAAAGATTTCACAAAAACAGGGATTGGAAGAGTGTTTTCTGGGACAGTTTTTTGCATTCGTTTGCTCTGCCAGTCTTGCGTGTAGTTAGATGTTGCCTACCATGTATCATTTCATTTGCAAGGAGCAAACCCACAGTGTTAAAACGGAGAAATTGTTATTAATATTTCTTAATGTGTCTTAGCTAATCTGCTAGTTGAGAGAACTAGAAAGAAAAAATCAGTTTTATTCACTCGCATAATAAATGAGCAGAACGGATTCCTGAATTGTCCACTAAGGACTTTAGCCTAAAATAATTCACATCCACATGTGTATATTTAATAATTGATGCTAGTCAAGTTGAAGCTATTTATTGTTAATGTTATTAGAATTCCAAGTGGAATATACTTTTGGATTTTTGTGTTTCTCCACCAATTTGGGTCTAATAGTTTCTCACCTAGGAAAGAATATTTGGAAAGATGCTATTCCAGTGGAATGTAATAACCTGAGAAAATCTGTATTATTTTATAAGGTCAAGCTGGAAAATGCCACATTAAATTTTTTTTTTTCCTCATGTTTCTTAACCTCAGAGCTTTTCTGAAAATCCGCAGCATAATTTAAGTCTGGCCACGGGGTTTTGTGAGATTTGGCTGAGTTCTCCTTCAAAACCTTTTGAAGTAGGGGTTGTGGAATCCTGTTTCAGGTGGTCCATAAAACCCTGTCAGGTGAAGCAGCTATTTCTTGCCAGATTTTGAGATTGAAATCAATAGGTTTAACAGTAATTTGGTATGGGGTGAGCAAATTGCAGGTGGCTTAAAGCTGCTCAACTGGAAATTTGAGCATCCTGTTTTGTTCTCTGTAGGTTTTACTTATCTTTTATGTTCTTGAGGTAATTAAGATACTTTTTTCTTTTAAAATCGATATTCCGCTCACTGCCTGATCACATGTCTTAGCATGCACCAGGAAACCGAAGACAAAGACAGTAATGAGATCAACGTGTACGGGGAGGCGAGTTGAGCGGCTGGTTTTGTCTGGTGTCTTATCTTCAGGTAAATCAAATTAGCTTCTTCCTTGAGCCTTTTACTTCACAGGTAACTGAAGGAAGTGAAATTTGGGAGTTTACAGCCAGCTGGTTTATTCTTGTATTCTTTGAGTATTTGCCCAGCATTTATTACGAAGAGAGCTTGGAGAGAAAGAAGAGCCCGCCCTGCCCCCCAATTTGCCTGTGCCCCTTGGCCAGCAGGTGCCTGGGGTGACCAGGCCCACCCTGGTGCCTTAAAGGACACTGTTTCTCACATTCCTCCTGGGGGAGACATTGTCCTCTCCACCCCAGGCTGCTTTGCAAAGGAATTTTTTAACCAGATAATATCCATCTTTCTGAAATTAGTTCTGGTTAATACAGTATTCCCCCTCCCCACTTACTATAAAAATTTTAATTACGGTAAAATACACACAACATAAAATTTACCACTTTAACCATTTTTAAGTGTCATCAAGTAATTCACATTGCTGTGCAGCTATCACCACCATCTGCCTCTGGAAAGAACTCTTTTCGTCTTGCAAAACCGAAACCCTGTACACAATAAACACCGACTCCCCATTTCTCACTTCTCTCAGCTCCTGGTCATTATCTTCTCTGTTTCTATGAGTTTGTCTACGCTAGGTAGCTCGTGTAAGTAGAGTGGTACAGCATTTCATCCACGTAGTAGCACGTGCCAGAATTTCCTTCCTTTCTGAGACTCGGTAGTATTTGGCTGTGGGTAGACCACATGGTGCTTTTCCATTCATCTGTCTGTGGACACTTGAATTGGGCTCCTTCCTCCTCTTGGCTGTTGTGAATAATGCTGCCATGAACATGGGTGTGCAAATATTTTTTCGAGACCCAGCTTTCTCTTCTTTTGGATATATGCTCAAGAGCGGAATTGCTAGATCATGTAGTAATGCTATTTTTAATTTTTTTTTTCCGAAGTGGTTGCACTGTTTTATGTTCCCACCAACAGTGCACAAGCGTTCCAGTTTGCCTACGTCCTCGCCAACACTTGCTATTTTCTGTGTTTTCGATAGTAGCCGTCCTAATGGGTGTGAGGTGGTAGTATTCTCCCTTTTTAAAAATTTTCAGTGCTCAGTTGTCAAGGTGGCCCCAGGATACAGATGTTGAGGACAGTTCCTGGGAGCACGTTGCTTGTGGGGCCCAGGACCTTATCATTTGTTAAGAATTATTGAGAAGATTTCCTGCTTTCAAATAGTGGTATTTTCAGATTTGCAAAGAAGTTGTTAAAGGGGATAGCTCACGATATCAAAGCGCACCACTCACCTAAGCTAAAGACACAGCTGGAGGTATCAGGGCACCTTCTGATCATGTGTGGTAGGAACGCACCACACTGGGAAGATCACACGGGACATCTGAGTCTTGGCTCTGTCTTTGCCAAAGTCACGTCCCATATCTGGGCTTCTTTAAAATGAGGTTGTTGAAACAACAACTCACTCAGGATCCTTCCAGCTTAAAAATTCTTGGATTCTGTGCAATGACCTTGACTTTGCTCACTAAAAAGGGGGAGGGATACTTTGTTCTTGAGGACAAGAGAGCAGCACAACAACTAGTTTCAATTAATGAAGATGTCGCTAAGGACTAAGAACGGTGCCGCCTTTGTGTCAGAGCAGTTAGAGCTGGAATTGGTCCTTGCGGGTCATCTAGGCTGCCTTGCTCGTTTTGCAGAGGAGAGGCTAGGAGGCAGGGATGTGGTAATACCGTCCGGTTAGGAGCTTTCTCTTTCATGTGAGTGAAAAATATCAACACCAGTTCTCTGCCACACTGGCCTGGGTTCAGGACGGTCTCATCATTCAGTGACAAGCACAGCTCGTGAAGGAGAGTGGTTAAGTTACAGGAAGCCATGGGGGATGGGAGAGGCAGCTTGACAAAACCAAAATAGAGGTCACTTCAAAATCTAAAGACCTGGTGTCTGGTCTGCTGGTGTGACTCACCAGCCCTGTGATCTGGGCATTTGCTTCACTACAGTTTTCTGGTCTGAAAGGCTGCGTACCTCCACGGCTGTTGGAGAGTCAACGTGAGATGATGATATATGTGAAGGAAATTGAACAAAGGTGCTATTAATACTGCTTGCACGGAGCAGTAGGGTTAGGGGTTTACCTCTCTAGACAAACATGTATGCTAAAACATCTAAATTTATCATTGAGGGTGATGATGTCTTATATAAAGTGGTTCACTGTGAGAAGTATCAGGGTTACAGAGAATCATTTTTTATATTGTACATCTTTTCAAGAACCATCCCACTCCACCTTTTTGGCATGAAGTTAGTTCAGTCTGCACCACTAGCAAACTTAGGAAAATGTGTGTTTTGATATTTTTATATATATGTGCCTTGTGTTTGCCGGGCAGATGAAGGCGGAGCTGGACAACTCTGGCATTTGTTCCATTCGAAAAGGAGGGCAGGTCTATGCTCACTTCTGGATGTGTTTACTGAAGGCTCAGCTCCTTCCTCAGTTGGGAGAGGAAATGTATCAATCCAGAGAGCTTCATTTAAAATTGCAAAATGAGCCACTTAGGGTTTCTATACTCTTTTCTTGATGAGTGTCATGCATTACTTTTAGCTCTCAGACGTGTTCTCAATTAGAGTGACATCAGCTCTTACTTGCCCCTGCGTGCAGGCCTCTCGGGAGCCTTGCCTTCCTCACTTGCAAACAGCAATGCGAATCTCACTTGTGCTCATTTCACAGGGCTTGAGGTGAGGTTTACAAAAGATGTATTTTGTTTTTTTAACTTGAAAGGACAGGGCTTGATCCTTGGCCTGAAGGAAAACGTAGCTTATAAAAGAAAAAGCAAACATACAATTTCCTCTACTCTCATACAATTCTTTTGACACCAAGTGTGTGAGCCTCTTCTATACCAAGCAATTCTCCAGTTCTTTGTGGACACCAACTGGGTGACGTACAATTCAATCCAATTCTGACACCATCTGCCTGGAGTTAGTGTCAGGTCCCACAGGTCAAGGGCTCAGTCCCACAAGACTGTCCCCCATTTCAGATGCTGTACTTCCGACAGACCAGCTGTAACCTGGGGGTTCCCATGATCCCCTTCTTGGGTTGGATCGTTTGGTAGAATGGCTCACAGAACTCAGGAAATGGTTTACTTACTATTACTGGTTTGTTGTAAAGGGTACAACTTAGGAACAGCCAAATGGAAGGATGCCTAGGGCAAGGTCATGGGGAAGGGGGGCTGGATGTGGGGGGCACGGGCAGGGGCAGCCCTCTCCAGGCGGTCACCCTCCCAGCACCTCCTGCAGGCTCTGGAGCCCCTTCCTTTAGGTTATGGAGGTGCCATTACATGGCAAGATGGATTGACTCCTTGTCCACTGGTGGTTAGGCTTACTCTCCCTCCCCTCTCCCTTCCCTGGAAGTGGGGGGAGGTGGGATCAGCTGAAAGTGCCAACTCTTTAATCACAGGTTTGTTCCTCTGGCCACAGTCAGTCCCCATCCTCCAAGAGTTACCTCATTATCATCAAGTCATTAGCATAAAGGTATGGTTGAAAGGGGCCTATTATGAATGACAAAAGATGCTTCTTTCACCTTTATTTCTCTGGAGTTGTTAAGGAGCTGAAATGTTTCAGGTGCAGGAGACAAAAACCAAATATTATAACAAAAGGTATTCTTATCTCTTAGGGAATTACAAGGAATTTAGGAGCTCTGGCTGGGTCCCAGGGATGAAGACCAAAATATATATTTCTTACTATGTCATAATGTCGCAGCTTCACGGAATGATAGGAAAACCGTATGAGAACAGTAGCAGAGCAGGAAAGTTCCCTGTCTACACAGCAGGTTCGTCAGCCACAGGTACACAGGGGCTGAGGCGGTTCCTGGAATCGCTGCAGTGACCCCTTGGGGTAGTTGCCTTGAAGCATCAGAGCAGTGTGGACCAGGAGACAGGGTGAGGTGTTGGAGCAATTGGAAGTTACACTGTGCAAATCCTTCATGTTCACGTGGGATTTGCAACCACGTGGCTTCACTGAGGCCGCTGAAGCCTTAGGTGAAAGAAGAGGCCTGGAGAGGAGAAAGACCACCGAGAGGTACCGCGTCCCTGCAGGAGGCCAGAGGACGGTTGGTGGCAGGGCCCACTGAAGCAGAGGGAGGACTGGGGAGAGGAAGGCCAGAGTGTGAAGGTGTCTGAGTCAGGATGTGGGCTGGCACGTCAGGGCACGGTGACAGCACGTGACAGGCGTGGGGATGGGCCAGCAGCAGCCCCCTGGTGCTGGCCAGGGAGCCAGAGCTGTGCAGAGGCCAGAGCACAGTGACGACTCAGGACTCCTGCTGCTTCGAACCCGGAGTGTCTCTTGGCTTCTCCCCTCCTCCGCTTCTTCTGTCACCACCTCCTTTTGGGGGGCATCATTTCTCGTCTGCACTGTCACAGCAGTGCCCCGTAGCCTTCCTGCCGTCAGCTGCGTTTCCTGCCAGTCCTCTCTACGTTTTACTGTGATGCTTTTTCTATACCATGGATTGAAGTGTCGTTTTGTTGTTCCGGAATCTGGTGGTTTCACAGGGCAGAGCCCGAGTCTCCCGGCGTGGTCTCCCACTCTCTGTCACTCGGGCCTGCGTATTCTGTTCCTGGCTCAGCTTCCAGCCTGGTGGTTTCAAGCTTTCCTGCCTTTCATGTCCCTTTCACTGCCCTGCAGTGCCCTGGCCACTTTCTTACCTGAAAGCATCCAGTCGTCCTCCAGGCCTGCCTAGGGCCGGCTCCCACATGCTGCGTCCTTCCCTCTCCTTGGTCGGAACTCCCTCAGCGTTCACTTAATACAAACACAGCGATGCTGACGTGCGTTCTGGGGGAGAGCAGTCAGAGGGCAGGCAAAGGCCAGGATGGACGTTGTTACCAATAAAGATCATCTTCTCCCTTCTCATGTAAAAATTCATTTTCTCCCAATATTAAGTAGCTACTTTATTTGGCATGGTGAGGGATACTAAGTCGAATGAAATAGTCTCTTCTCAAGAGTCGTAAGAGTTAGTGTGCAAAACTTGCGCATGAAGACAGAGCAAGGCGCAGGCGGCAGCAGTCCTAAGGACACTATAAACAAGATTAGTGGGACTGGACAGAAGACAGCCCAGTGACAGCTGAGATTAGACATTGTGGGGTCAGAGCCGCCTGCTGGACCGTGGGAGGGCAGAGATTGGTGGGCTTGTTGATTGGGGTGGGGGGGGTGGTGGGCTGGGGGTTGGGTATTGTGGAGCGCGTTCCAGAAGCAAAATGGTCTGAGTAAAGTGTGAAAGTCGAGTGTGCAATCTACATTTTTGCAATGGTGAGGAGTTCATTTCGATTGGCTCTTGATGGCTTTCCGGGAATTAACTGTGTGTGTGTACGTGTGTGTTTTGTTTGTCTCCGTGTTCTAGGCTCAGACCATGAATTACGTGGGGCAGTTGGCCGGCCAGGTGTTTGTGACCGTGAAGGAGCTCTACAAGGGCTTGAATCCCGCCACGCTGTCGGGATGCATCGACATCATCGTTGTTCGCCAGCCCAATGGGCATCTCCAGTGCTCCCCCTTCCACGTCCGCTTTGGGAAGATGGGGGTCCTGCGCTCCCGGGAGAAAGTGGTAAGAGCACAGGACCCAGTGACCTGGCGCGCTGGCTGTCTCCTTAGAGAAAATCATAAAATTCCTGTGTTGTCACCTGTCTACTCTCTCAGACCCAGAGTTTTAGATCTTTGTTGGAAATGGCTGTTCAATGAAGTGACAGTTACTAATTCCAATTGTTCTAGGTAGCAGTATAAATTTCTCTAAAATGCGGCACACACCAACTGTTTATCAAGCTCCTGTGTTCTGAGGGTCAGCGATTCAGACAGAGCACAGCTGGGATGGCTTGTCTCTGCTCTCTGCTGGCTTCAGCGGGAGGACCCAAAGGCGGGGGGCTGGAGTCATTGGGTCACCGCCTTCTCCCATGCCTGGTGGTTGATTCTGGCCCTTGGCTGGGCCCTTTGCCAAGGCTGTTTGCTGCACCACCCACACGTGGCCTCTCCATGCGGCCTGGGCTCCCCCACAACATGGCGGTGGTTTTGAGGGCAAGGTTGAGGGCGAGCATCTCTGGGGAGTGGGAGCCAGGTGGACGCTGCATCTTTTTGTGGCCCGGCCTTGTAAACCACATGACATCACTTCTGCTATGCTTTACTAGTTGGGCAATCACAAGCCTGCCTGGGTTCAAGGGGAGGGGAAAATAAGCATTTCTTGATGGAGAGTGACCAGGTTTTGGGAGAACATGTAGGAAAAGAAATCTTGATGTGGCCATTTTTAGAAAAGACAATCTGCCACACAAAGAAAAAATTCTTAAAAGTAGTTTGTATATCTCATGTCTCTACTAATACGGAATTTGGAATGCTGTCTCATGACTGGTCCTTTGAGTTTAGTTCAAGTGGAAGCTCTTTGTTGAGAGTATTTCACAGATCCAAGCCAATCTCTGATGAATGTTCCAAGGTGTAATTTCTAAAGACTGGGGCTGGAGAGAGGTTGATTGCAGTTTGAACTCTACCATTAACCAGTTTTTTGACCCTGGGCCAGTCACTCCCCTTGTCTGTTCTCAGCCCCTCAGTTGGAAAAGCAGGAGCTGGGCCAGGTGGTCTTGCACGGCCTTCCCGTTCTGGGTTTTGTCCTCCACGCTCAGGGACCTGCTCTCCTGAGCCCAGAGCTCCCCAGGGCTCAGGTGCACCCTCAGTGGGTTGGAGCTGTGAGACGCTCTCGGGGTGTATGCGATTCAAGTACATCTGCAGAGACAGGCCGTTCCCCAGGAAGTTTCCTGCTCTGGGGAAGCCGGCTCATTCTTAACCACGTTTTCCCTTCAGGTCGACATAGAAATCAATGGGGAGTCTGTGGATTTGCACATGAAATTGGGAGATAACGGAGAAGCATTTTTTGTTCAAGAAACTGATAATGATCAGGTAAGGAGGCTGGGTGGTCAGGGTGACTTCCTGGTTTTGAGCTCTGAGCCGTGCTTATTTGGGGACACAGCAGAAGTCTGTGTGAAGAAGTAACTAACACTGGTGCCTTGCTGTGTGGACTATGGCGGCAAAGAAGAGTGGCTGTTTACTTGTCCTGGGGATTTGAGCCAGACAGGCTGAGTGTGCTGAGTCTACACAGCTTGCTTCCTTTTGCTCCCTGTTTCCGGGAAGACAGAGGCAGGGACTTTACACATCGGCTTGAACCGTCGTCCAAAGCAAACAAATTACAGGGGTGTGTCAAATCTCAAATGGCCGAATGTTCTGATTTTTATTTAGTGAGTGGCCAAGTCACTTTTATTTTTTATTATTTTACAGCTTTATTGGGATATACTTCGCATGCCATACAATTTACCCATTTCACGTGTGCGCTCAGTGGTTTCTGCACAGATGTGCGCAGCCATCACCATAGTCAATTTCAGAGTGCTTTCATCACCCTGAAAAGAAACAGCATACCCTTTAGCTGTCCCCTTCCCTATCCGCAACCTGCCCAACCCCCAAGCCCTAAACAACCACTAATGTACTTTCTGTCTCTGTAGGTTTCCCTGTTCGGAGCTTTTAAATGGAATCATACAGTGTGTGTTCTTTTGTGCCTGGCTTCTTTCACTCTTGTTTCAAGGTTCACCCAGGTTGTAGTATGTATCAACACTTTCTTCCTTTTTATGGCTATATAGTATTCCGTTGTATCCGCATTCCACGTTTTGTTTTCCCCTCATCTATTGATGGATGCTTGGGTTGTTTCCAGCATTTAGCTATTATAAATAACGTGAACATTCACGTACAAACTTTTGTGTGGAGATACATTTTGATTTTTCTTGGGTATGTACCTAGGAGGGGAATTCCTGGATCATGTGCTAACTTGTAACTTTATGATTAACTTGAGGAACTTTCAGACTGTTGTATAAAGTGGCTGCACCATTTCATGTTCCCACCAGGGTACGTGAGCGTTCTGATTGGCCCACGTCCTCGCCAGGACTCATTATCTGATGTTGCGATTCTAGTCATTCCCCTAGGTGTGAAGTGGTGTCTCTTTGTGGTTTTGATTTGCATTTTCCTCATAACTAGTGGTTTCGAGCATCTTTTTGTGTGCTTATTGACTATTTGGATATCTTTGGAAGATTGTCTGTTCAGATCCTTTGCTCATTTTTTTCGGGTTATTTATCTTTTTTATTACTGAGTTTTACGCATTCATTATATATTACAGGCACATGTCCCTTGTTAGATACATACTTTGTAAATATTTTCTCCCATTGTGTGGGTTGTCTTTACTTTGTTGATGATGTCTTTTGCGGCACAAAAGTTTTTAGTTTTAATGACGTCTAATTTATCTGTTTTTTTCTTTCTTTTTAAAAAGTTTGTGTTTAACTTTTATTCTGTTTTTTCATTTGTTGCACGTGCTTTTGGTGCCATATACGTGTAAGAATTCTTTGCCATAACCAAGGTCATGAGGATTTGCCATTATGTTTTCTTCCAAGACAGACCATTTTTTAAAATCATTTATTCACTGGTGAGGCCTCTTTGGAGGGGTCTGATGTAGTGATTCCTCATGAAATCCACTTGAACTGGTTGCTTTCTGGGAGAGCGTGACTAAAAAGGAGCAGCTCTGTATAGCTCCAAGCTCTCCAACTAACGTCCGTAATTCCAGCTTCAGGGCAAGATGGCCCCAGGCACCGCCTCCCTCTGCCCAGAGCCGTGGTGTCTGGGGAGGACCCAGCTCCCCATGCTGCACCTTCCGTTTTCCGAATGACCCCCTGGCATCAGGCATCCCTGTCTGTCTGCTCTTTCTCTCTCTTTTAAATGCAGAGGCTCTGAGAATTATTAATTGGTTCCTGATGGTCTGTAGAGAGAACTCTTCCTGCCTCAAATGGACACCTGCATTTTTGACTTTATTTGCACTGCTTTAGACAGACGTTAGGCCAGCAGAGCTGAGGAAGCATTTGGGGCCAGCATGCTGCAAGGCAGGGCCTCGCAGGCCGGAGTATGTTCCTGCCCGTGTAGGTGCCTCGCAGTCTCCCCGTGAGCCTGTGTCCTTCAGCACCACTTGTCACACTGCAGCTGCACTCTGCCTTGGCGGGTCTGCCCGTCTCACACATGCACCTGCCCCTTCCCCTTCCAGCCGGCAGGTGGCCGGGCCCTTCTCTGTTCTTGACCCAAGGCTGTGTTTCTCACTCATTTGGTCCGGCCGAGCAGCCGGGTGACTTCCCGCCTAAGGCCGTGTTGAGGGGGTGATATAGATGGTATACTTTTAGCACGTGGGATGCTCTCTAAACCTATTTGAACTACCAGCGGTGTGTTTGTGTGTATCTCCTCTCTTGTGTGTATATTGTTTACTTCTTGTTACCAAGTTTCTCAGAACGAGTCATTCATTAATAAAACGATTGCTAAAGTTTTCAGAAAACTGTGGGATCGCTATCAAACAACTAGTACCTTGGCAGGTTGTGCATGTTTTTCTTTCTGTCTCTAAGAAGAAGGTCAGTATCTAATTCCTTGATGTGCACGTACCTTGACGTGCCCTGGTACAGGCAGGCACTTGGGCAGGGCTGTCAGCTGGTTTTTGTTTGTTTGTTTGTGTTTTAGGTTACCATCCTCATTCAGTGCATATTAAAAAAACTATACAGTTTGAGACCAAAAAAGAAAAAAAATACACACATACCCATTCTCTCTCTCTTTCTCACCCTCCCACACCCACCCTGAAGTGCAAAACTGAGTCCAGTTCCCAGTATAATCCGATGACTCAAAGCCCATTTTTTTCCTTCTTCGCTCTGGATGTTTCAGACAAAGTTGAATTTGGGTGACTGAAATCACTGATAATTACCTCACTTTGTTATAATTATCTAAATGCAGGATTGAGTACAAAATGGCATTACACTGGGCAGCCACGTCTCCAGATCACTGTGGCTGTGACATCCGGTCAGGCTGCCCTGCTGTGGCTGTCTCCAGGGAGCATTTGGCCTCCGAAATTAACCCTGGAGGGCCTTTGGCACAGTCCCGCTCCTTACATGAAAACCAAAGAGGCTCTGTTTTGAAAATGTGTTCTCTCCATCAGGAAGTGATCCCCATGTACCTGGCCACCTCCCCCATCCTGTCAGAAGGAGCTTCGAGGATGGAATGCCAGCTGAAAAGGAACTCTGTGGACAGAGTACGAGGCCTGGACCCCAGCACGCCAGCCCAGGCTACACCTCCCGGCGAGAGCCCGTCGAGTGGCTCCTTAGTAAAGAAGAGAAGAAAGAGGAGGAGGAAGTCCCAGCTGGACAGCCTGAAAAGAGATGACAGCGTCAACACATCCGAAGATGAAGACATGTTCCCCATTGAGATGAGCTCCGACGAGGACACGGAGCTGCCGGACAGCAGTAGGTAACTGTCTAGGACAGGAGGCCGCCTGGACGAATGCATTTTCCAAGATGATGTTTATAAACTCTTATTTTTTTCCGAATTTCTTATTCTTCAGTTATGCATTTTTAGACTGAATTTTGGAATCACATGGACCCAATCCTGTAGTGGTGTAAAGATTTGGTGCAGCTTACTGCTAACGGACAGGTGGTGAGGCCAGACCTCCCTGGCTGGTCACTCCGGAAGTCTGGGATAGAGTCAGGAAACAGGAATGGAGCAAATTAATTGTTCATGACCGAAACCATTTTCTTAGAACCTCTTTATTCTTATTCAAATACCAACTGTACGTAGAAATTGGGCTTATTTAGACAGAGGGGCTGACACGTGATAGACTTACGGTTAAAAAGGAATGTAGAACATGCTCAGTTTTCTCTGCAAGCCAACTTTTTCCTTTTTAATTTTGATTCAGCCCAAAGTTTAATGGACATTTTGTTCTGTTCTCCTTTACTTTTAACAGTATAGTGAAATTCTGTTATGTATGACTATTTCGGTGGAGAAATGCCGGTTTTAAAAAATAAAACTCATTTTTAAAGGATATTTGATGTTTCAGATTTTCATGTAACTCACTGTAATTTTTGATAATTGTTTTAAATCTTTTTAACATAAGGTATCAGGAGTATCCCCTTGCTTCATTTTTCAGAATAGAATATATACGTACTTTTTCTGGCTAAAAATAAAGGTCATTTGGCAACGTTGCTCTCCCTCACTGCAGCCTCTGATCTGCTGTAGGCTCTGAAACGGGGCATTTGGGCTTCTCATAATTGCCTTCCCTGCATGTCTTTTAATTCCAGAATTTAGTGATAGGTACTTCAGGTAACATCAAAAATACAGACAGACTGGTGACCTCTGCACGAGTGAAAGAGTGAACGCTATTTAGCAGTGAGTCTGCTTAAAGCTGAAGCGAGGTAGTTTTGTGATCATTTTGTGGTCATAAGGTACTTTTGGTTGATGTCATTTATTGCTTTTGCTGGACGATGTGTGTGTGGTGGTCCCTGAGTTATTTGGCAGCTCTGCCTGTCCCTGGCAAGCGTTTTATACCAACCTGGGTCCAGTTCTGGGCGGATCTACCTCCCCTCCCAGACTTTTGGAATGTGACATCCTCAGGGCAGTGGTAAGGTGCTACCAGGGGCATAGCCAGCAGTGTGAGCATTGTGTGCACGTCTAAGTCCGCTGCTGAAACCAGACCATTTCAAATTATGATTCAGCCCAAGCGTAAACACACGAACTCATTTATATGTGCCTGTGTCTCAGTTTTCCCCTCTTCATTGCCTGGAATATGCCTGGGTGTTTCAAAAGAGGTCATGTTAATACACAAAGCACTTAGAGATAATCAAGAAAAAATCGGAAGTCGACTGTATTATGAATCTATCACTGATAATTCTTTGACTTTAATTTTTTTTCCTCCAGAACTCTGGCTAATGACATACCTCCATTCCAAGATGATATTTCTAAGGAGAACCTTTCCCCGGTGTCGACTTACCCTCAGTCAGCTTCATACCCTAATTCAGACAGAGAGTGGACGCCCAACCCCAGGTGAGTTATGTGTGTATGTGTGTCTAAGTGTGTTCACTTTTCCTGGTCCAGAGGATCCGAAGTCACTTATAGGAAGCATGTCTAAGAAAATAGTGAAATAGAAGTAAAAAATGAAAGTAATTAGGACCAGATAAAAATGCAATATGGAGCAGGATGTACAGATTAGGATTAAAAATAGAACACGTGCAGATCACACACTTCTATCTAATGCCAGAATCCATCTGCACACGTGGCTCTCAGCTGCCCCGACGTGAAACCCAAAGGAAAAGCACTTAAATTCCACAGTGCTAATTGTTAATAGGAGAAAACGAGGGCAGAGCTCTTCTTGATACTTAGCCTTGTAGTGAGATTCAGAAACAGAAATGCGTTGCTTTAGGGGCCACTGGGGTCATTCAGGGCTGTTAGAATGCTGCCTCCCCTATGCTTCCTTTGTTCTTCTGAATTTAGTTCCCTGAAATGCACTTGCAGGTTGCCCTAGAGGTCCCATATAAACTTGAGGACCTAGCGCTGCTCAGCGTGCACATGGCTGGCCTCAAGACTCAAGGTGGTGGGGCGTGGGCTATTAATATCTCAAAGTGCGTGGGAGTGTGGTTCTAATAAGGAAGAGGAAACACTTATCTAAATGACAGTGACATCCTTGGATTATTCTTACACCTAATGCCTTAGATTTACTTCCCATTCAAAACGGAAGTGTGTGTGTCGCTAGAAGCTCTGGCATGTGCTGCGGTGGGTTCCTGCCTAAAGCCAGTCTCATCCAAACGCCACTGCTGGGTCCAGTTTGATCAGAGCGCTCTTGTGCATGGGACAGCAGTCCGCAGTGTGGGCTGAAGTTGAGGCTGCAGAAAAAGTAGCTCTGTCCCATGCCTGGTTTCCAGCCAAGACTGACTTTGAATGTGAGTCCGCAGGGCAAGCCTGGGCCTGTTACAAAGCCCCCTCGTCGAAGTCTGTCTGGGTCAGGAACCAGCTCTGTCTGGTAGAAACATAATGATTAGCTACGTATGTAATTTTAAGTTTTCTAGTAGCCCTATTTAAAAGGTAAAAAGCAGATGAAATTAATTTTAAAAATATATTTCATTTGACTCAGTATATCTAAAATACTATCATTTCAACAAGTAATTTTAAAAAATTGTCAATGAGATAATTCACATTCCTGTTTTCATAGCAAGTCTTTAAAATCTGTTGCATATTTTACGTGTATAGAGCATCTCAATTTGGACTTGCCACATTTCGAGTGTTCAATAGCCACATGTAGCTAGTGGCTTATTATATTGGACAGCGAAGATAAAATACCTTTCTAGAATCTCATACATTCTTTCCCTAGGTCTGTGGAGATAAAATCCTAGGGGGGGGAAAAACAGTAATTTAGGAAGAAAATAATGTAGAATATTTAGAAACCACGAATAGGTTGAAAAATCTGTACAGATGCTATGTATTAATTTTAAGAATTTAAAAGAAACATTTTAAACACAGCCCTGAGCATGTTTGTCTGTCTTTAATGTTTTTCTTTATGAATCCAGAACAATAACTGATTATGTAGATCTGACCAGAGTCAAATGGAATTACAAATTAGGATAAATAGACACATTTCCATACTTGGGATTATGTATTTATTTTCTTTAAAGAGAGTTGATAGCACAGATCATCAAATCCTCAGATTATGTAGTTTGAATAAGCACTAAAGTGTGACCAAAGACAGACAATCGTTTATGGGCACATGGGTGAAACAGAAAGTGAAATAGGTCTTCTGGCAGTTTCCTATTTTTGTGGTTCAGAAAATTCATATCGATTTCTTAGTGATTTCAACGTACAGTTCTCTGCTGTTGTCAGATGCCTAAGTATTTTCATTTTCTTACAAATGTCATTGTTGAGAGCCGTCAAATCATTTATATGAAATTCCATTTAGTTTAATTGACCTATGATTTTTTTCTTTCTTTTAATGTATCACGTGGTGGTATCCAGTAACCCGGTAGATTGCAAAAGGACGCCCCCTCATCTTGCAGTTGCGGCCGAGGGAGGTCTATCTAGCTCTTGCCCTCCACACTCTTCCCACTTCCGTCCTTCGGAAAGGTAGAGCAGTTATTTTTCGCACTTGAACATATTCAGTAACGAAAGTTTTGATCTAGCTCTTCTAATCCTATTTTATCATTAACCAAATTACTTATGGAGAAAATACCTATAGATTTTATAAAGTGAAAATTTCGATCTAACTCTTACAGTCTGCTTCACCAACTAACCAAATTACTTATGGAGACAATACCTACAGAGTATTATTTTCCTTTCATTTTAAGCATTTGTAGATTATTAGGTTTTTTTTCAAGTCCTGAATTTGACTCTCTGGAAATTATGGTTAAGTATATATCATTCTACCTAACTTTGTGGAGTGCTTTGAAAAATAGAATAATGAAATTAGATTGGGAATACGATCTTTTGTGTCTAGGGTTGTTTGACAAATTAGTTTACAAGATATTTTTGGGATGCCACTTCAGTATAAGTCATTTATTATAAATATTTAAATAGCTTATTAGGCTGTCTGAATAATGGAGTCAGACATTTTCCACAGAATTTATAGAACAGAATTTTGGAGAACAGTAGGTCGGATCTCAGGTTTAGGATTACTGGTTTGTGTTTTCATCTGGTGCAGTCGTCTGAGGTTTCTGCCTTAGATTTTGACCTACCTACATTGTAGACTTAAAAGGCTTAGTTTATAAAACCTCAGCAAATGAAGCTGTGATTAATTGTTTTCTTTTTGTTTAGAGAACCAAACCTCAGCTTTTCCTTCATTCAGATGTTATATAAGCAGAAGAAAGTTCATTTTAAAGTGAGGAAAACAAAGTGATAAACAGTTATAGCTAACTTACCTTGTTGGGACTGGCGAAAATACTGAAAACCATCATGAGGCTAGTAAATACCTCATTTATGAAAATCAGTCAGTGGTCTTGTAAGCTTACTTTCTGAACAACCCTCGATTTTAAAAGTGTCGTATTTGATAATAGGGCATTTTGGAACCAACGTTCTGATAAGTGACAGTCAGCATTGGGACTCCCTTTTCTCGGGTCATCTTCAGTCTGTCTGAGTTCCCTCAGTGACCAGTAGCGGAAAGTACACGTGTATCTGTGTGCGGAAGCCTTTTGGGAACGGCTGCTGTGGCACATGTGGGCAGCATTTATGGTGGTGGCACAGTTAACGTGAGAGGTGGGACTTGTAGCTTACGGCTTTCAGGCGGGGCTTGCTTCTTTAATAACGTGAGCTTACAAACCTGAATGCCTCTACGGAGCCCCCATGGCTTGTGGCTTTTATGAAAAGACCAGAATGTTAGGAATCCTGGAGTCGGGAGAACTTCCATTCTCTCAGAGCAGAGGCTGGCAAACCACAGCCCGTGGGCCACGTCCCGCCTACCTCCTGCTTTTGTCAAGCTTTGCTGGAGCCAGCCAGTCGGTTTATGTATTGGCCATGGCGGTTTTCGTGCCACCAAGCAGAGTTGAGTAGTTGCAACAGAGATCGTATAAGCCACAAAGCCCAACAATCGTGCTACTGGGCCCTTTACAGAAAAAGTTTGCAGACCCCTGCTCAGTCTAAAGGGCTTTATTTAATTTATTGTCAGTGGGTAAGATAATTTGTTGTTCCAAAGAACTTATAACAAAATGTCAGTTATATTTTATCTGATAAAATATAATGACAAGAACTTTTTAAACAGACGCTTTGAGGTTCAGGTGCGGTACCATCGAGGGTAGTTAGCCGGTTAGGGTGGGCTTCTGTGATGCCTCTGGAGAAAGAGAGGGTTCAGGTCACAGCTTATGCACAAGGGCCCCTCACCGGAGGTCACAGCACTGCGGTCACCCATTACTCCTACATCGAACACATGATTGTGGAGGCTTCAGTGCCAGAAAAGCATTGCTCCTTTGGAGAACAGTGTGATCGTAGAACTAGCGGAAGGAAGGGATGTTGACAGGCAGTGAGTGCTTTCCCATGCAGCCGTGTGTGGGGCCAGTATCCCCTGTCAAGGGACTGCAGATAAGTGTGTGTGTGTTGGTTGCGGGGTGTCCTAGTGTATAAGCTCTCACAGCGTGGGCCCTGGGGAGCCTCCTCTCCTCAGACAGGCGAACTAGAGCGTGAGGGCTGCCGTTGGATGGATTGGCGTTCGGCGGGTGCCAAGGGAGAAGGGACCACTGTGTGCACCTCAGTGTGAAACGGGGGAGGGACAGTGCTTGCCCAGAGAGAGTCGGGATCGGTCTGTCCGGTAAGGACACCTGTCTGTTGCACACAAGTTGTGTGTCATCGTGAGCTCACCTTGTACTGACAGGAGAGGTGTATTCAGCTGGAGTAAGAATCTAACTCTAACAGATAAAAGAGACACCAAGCACATCCGTGAGAGGTCGCCGAAGAGCATAGATAGGGTCTGTGAAAGAGGACGTCAAGGGAAATCGTGGTAGCTCTATTTCCTGCTGTGTTTGAAAACTCCGCTGTCTTCCTCTAGAGGAAATGGTGCAGGAGAATGAAGACAAACAGGAATTAAATGTTAGTATATTGTAATAAATGAGTACAATGATTACTGCTGTAAATATTAATACTTAGAATACCGAGAATCTTGTGGATAAGTTGATGACTTTTGGATGGTTACTTTGGCCAGAAGTAAGGCTTGGCTTAGGTCTTAAGAGTTAAACCAGAGAAAGCGTGGGGGTGAGAGAGCATGTGGCAGCCATCTGGGAGCCGGCCTGAGGATTGAACGCCGTGATGCGTTGTTAGGGAATGAGCCTGAGCAAATTGGCGGATCCTTTGAAGTATTCCTTATAAAATGTAGATTTGGAGTTTATTTGTGGCATCCTGCATGTGATACGATCTCCCTGTTTTCAAAGCTAGTGCAGATTTATAAATGTCTTAAATGTAGAATGTAACAGGTGTATGTCAGGGCTGGCCAGGACCCTTCCGCAGGCGTCTGAGAGTTGAGACACTTGATTGGAAATCGTGAGTGCGGGAGAGGTGAGCTCAGGGTCTCATGGTGGGGTGGAAGGATGGTGATTTTGAGGTAAGAACAAACTTTCTTTTTCCTTTCTCTTTTCATCTCTCTCTTTTTCTTGTCGATATTCCTTTTCTGGGCTACTTGTTTTTCTCTTCTTCTTTACTTGGGGTTTGGCCTCAGGCTGGGGCAGGTTACCCAGAGTGGGGGCACCTTCTATCTGGACGCAGGTTGCCTGGACCCCTGGTGGCCAGAGGAGGGATGTGTCCTGAAGCCCTGCTCATAAGGCAGTGACAGCTTGGTGCATTTTCTGGGTTATTTGAGCTTGGATCTGGGTCAGAAACATTTGAAAAAGCTTCTTTTCCCACTTTAAGCGTGGCTTTGTGTTTCCTTCAGCCCTTCAGCGTCCCGGCCTTCAACACCTAAAAGTGATTCCGAGTTGGTCAGTAAGTCTGTGGACAGGACGGCGCAGAAGAGTAACCTAGAAATGCTCTGGCTTTGGGGGGAATTGCCGCAAGCTGCAAAGGTGGGTCCTTTTTCTCAGTTCTGCCACATACTGAAGATTTCTAACTTAGCTTAAATTACGTGGAATTAGTGTTCTGTCGTAGCCAAGAAGCACAGCTACCAGGAGCTGGAGGTAAATGAAACAGGTAAATGGTGTTAAAGATTAACCTGAACACCAGAATTGCGTTCTTCCACGTTACCAACGTTATAAAGAGATCTCACTGCATTTATGTATTTTAAACATACAGGACGACTCTCAGGATCTAATTTTCTATCACAACTAAATGCAAAATAAATTTTAAAAAGTACAACTTATACGTAAATCCTGCTGTCTTCAAGCTGTAAACAAAAGTACCTCCCAGTTCTTACCTCTTTGAGGTCAGAGGTGACTGCAGAGAAGTCACGGGGACAGAGCCTTGGAAGCTGGGTCTGTGGAATGAGAGGCCGAGGGAGTTGTGACAGCTGGAGTCCCCGTTCGTGTCCCTCACAGAGAGAAACTTCTGGGAGAGCACTGGCAGAGGGAAAGGCTGGTAGAGCAGGAATGGAATGGTGAGCCTAACAGATAAGTAAAGTCAGGAAATTTTAAGGCTTTGATTCATCAAGTAGTAAGTATTAATATCTTTGGACCATCCTAAATTTGACCCTGTGGGATCGCCGGAAGAGATAGAGAAGCAGCTGAGTATAGTGAAGAGAATGAGGGGCTGGGAGGCAGACTGTCCTGGGGTTGAATCCCTGTTCTACCACTTGCTAGCAGGGTGACCTTGGGCAAGTCAGTGGACCTCCTTGAACCTCAGTATCTTCATCTCTAAAATGTGAGAAAACAACTGATACTGCTCAGAGTGGTTGGGAGGTTAAAAGAGATAATGTGTGTGAAATGTGTGGCACATTTAGCCCTCTAAATATTTGCGTTCTTTATCCTTGGCTACACGACGTACACACTGAGCCTCGGTTTGTCCATCTCCAAAATGCAACAAGTTCACATGCAGGTACATAATCGCTACAGCACATAGCTTTCTGAAAACGTGAAATCTTTTCTTTCAAGAAATTTTATTTCATATTGCAATGTACTACAAGTATCTTGAATTATTACATTGCAGACTTTCTTTTTTTAACGTTGTAAGGTCCTAAGAAGATGCTATAGCCTCTAAGAAGATACTACAGCCTTTTACATCCCCAATAAATGTTTGTAATATGAATGAATAAATGAGTGAGTGAGTGAATGAAGATTGAAAGCATTCCTATTAAGTGTCAAAATGGGCAACTTTTTGGAGAGTTGGTCTATTGAGGCTGAAGTTTGTGGATCCATTTCCTCTCTAGGTTGTAGTTCGCTTTCACGGAAAATGTTGATTTCTCTGCCCACAGCTGTAGTGCTGACCCAGCCAACTATCTTTACAAATTCACATCATTCGTTGCTGGAGAAACAGTGTGAAAGTGCAAATCCATCACTTCTTCTGGCAAAACAGTTCTAACCACAGATCTACTGTAGCATTATTTTCATTTGTGATAGAACCTGTGAGATCAGATGGAAAAGAGAATATTTTCTGCCCCCTTTTTAGCCCATAGATTGTATTTAGGTTTTTGTTTGAATACATCCGTTCCATAACTGGAAATCCCTGGGGGTAGAAATCAGAAATGTTAATTTCCCACTCATGTGAACCAACCACCATCAAATCTTCACTTACACACTCTCGATTCGGGAATAAACTTTATTGAAATATACACATATACAGAGAAATACACAGATTGTAAGTGCGTAGCTCAATACATTTCCACACCTTGAACCATGCACCTTGCACCCAGATCGAGAAGCAGAACACGACCGGCAACTTGGAAGCTCCCATGCTTGGCAGTCACTGATAAAAATGACCTTGACTTCTGACAGCAGAGATGAGTTTTGCAAAATTTATCGATGCTGTTGCATGTAGTTGTAATTCACTCGTTACCGTAGAATACCTCATTGTGGAGCGTACTTCCCATTCTGCTGATGCACACGTGGGTCCCTCCCACTGTGGCATTGCTAGTCATTGCTAGTGTCACTCACGTCTGCTTGGCAGTTGATGTCTCATATGAGAGTTCATTTGCTTTGGAACTAATATTCTTGGTTTCTGGACCCTTCGGTAGGTATGGAAATCACCGGATGATTCTTGAGGTTTGAAAGTCTCTGTCACAGACTGTTAACTGCCTGCTTGTTCTCTTCTGTTAACTCAGGTTTCCTGTTGCCTGTGCTCTGACCTTCTCTCTCTCTCTTTCTCTACCCCCTGCCTTTGGTCTAGTCATCCTCTCCACACAAGATGAAAGAATCCAGCCCGTTGAGCAGTAGAAAAATTTGTGATAAAAGTCACTTTCAGGCCATTCACAGCGAATCCTCAGACACTTTTAGTGACCAATCGCCAACATTGGCCAGGGAGCCACTTCCGGACCAGAGCCAGCCTCAGACAGAGATGCAGTTTGTGAATGAGGAAGACATCGGGGCCTTGGGGGCAGCAGCGCCACTGTGCCCTGCGCCACTGTGCCCTGCGCCACTGTGCCCTGCGGTCGAGGAGCTAAAACCCCCCTCTGCTGGCGTAGTCCAGGCAGTGGGCAAGATGGATTCTCCTAGGAAGAAAGGTACGAAGGCTGGCGCTTCCGGGCTCTCGTTCTTTTCAGACTTTGCCCTCACTCTGCAAATGATAGGTCCTTCTTTCAAAACATCCAAGAAAATCAAGGTAGCGACAGAACTGTGAGAACTGTCATGTTCGACCTGTGCTCCTTCACTGAATACATTCGTTACCAGAATTTAGTCAGAAAATCAGACGTGAAGGAGGCCTCTGGGGATCGTGTACTAAACCTCCTCATCTCACAGATCGGGGATGCCAGATCCAGGGGATACCGTGGCACCCCACGAGTGTGACTTCTGTAAAGTTGATTATTAGGCTAATCCTGGCTGCTTCTCCCCTTGGCCCAAGTTTCTCTCTAGCCCATTACCCCATTTAAATACCATTTATCACTATTTCAAATTATCATTAGTTTTTTTTTGTCCAGCTCCCCCTACTGGAATATATGCTTTCTGAGATGAAGAATGTTTTTTGTCTGGTTTACCTTTTTGTCCTCAGTGCCTAAAGTAGTGGTTGGCACATAGGTGCTCCGTGAGTGTTAGCTGAACGCACGCCCGGCTGCACGTCAGTAGTGCTGATGTCAGCGCCAAGCTCCGTTAGCCGGGCAGCCTTGTACAGTTTTCTAGAGCTGTGAAAACCAATTCCATCATTCCTTGCCTGAAGTAAAGAGGAAGTTTGAAATCGTGGTGTGCAGTGTCCGAGAGTGCACAATTGAGGGTGTTGTGCCTTGGAGTATCGATGGGGAAGTGCTTGATGAAAGCTTTTATTAATATCATTGAACAGTAATAATAATAACGGTAATACTGTCAATATTTTGAGTGCTTAGGACACTTCAGGCACTTCACAGACAAGGAACGGAGGCTCTGCAAAGCTACGGCACTTGATCCGGGCCACATGGTGGACGGCAGAGCCCGTCCGCAGACCAGGGCAGTCTGACCCCACAGTGATGCCGCGCCGCCCGCCCCTCATTGGTGCTTCTGGGGCCAGTTGGGTGCTTGCGAGCAAACGTGCACATTGTGCTTAAATGCTGTTTCTATAGATACGAGCCCGTGAGGTCGTTCCTGGAACAGTGGTTTTCTGACTCGAGCCGTTTACATTTTTAGATAAACGAAGTAGGCATCTTGGTGCCGACGGCGTCTACTTGGACGACCTCACGGATATGGACCCTGAAGTGGCAGCCCTGTATTTTCCCAAAAAGTAAAATTTCTTTTAATTCCTCGTGTCATTTTCTGTAATCTGCATATTAATCTGCGTGAGCCCTGTTTTCACCTATGTTTGACTAGGAAGTATGTGGGGAAAAAGGCAGTGGGAGGCTCCCGTTCTACTGTGAAAAGCAGCCAAGCACTCCAGGCTCTCTCTGTAGCCCCGTGTGTAGACCGGTGGCCCGCGCTCCCCTTCCAGGCAGGGACATAGGCACGAGCCTCAGTGGCCCAACAGCCCAAATGAGTGGCAGCTGCGCAGCCCTCCCCCCACCCCAGGGGAGGCTCCCACGCTGGGTTCCCCTGGGATGCGACTGGGGCCAGCACGGTGGGGGCAGTGGCCGGGGGCGTGGCCTGGGGGACAGTTGCATCTTGAGTTTATTTAAGGAGGGGGGGAGCTGGGAAGGGAGACAAGGAGATGGAACGGGCCAAAGCATAATGGTTTCCTCTCCTAAGGTAATTCAGTGCACTTCTCTTCCTTTGTCATGGTGCCTTCCTGACAAATCTGTGCTGAGATGAAACCCTCTGCTGCTCTGCGGGGTAGCGGCTCTCTGCTGTCAGTGTGGGAACATCTCCCGCTTTCCCTCTCGGCAGCGGAGACCCTCCCGGGCTCACAAAACACGCCAGCGACAATGGGGCCCGGTCGGCCAACCAGTCCCCGCAGTCCGTGGGCAGCTCGGGCGTTGACAGCGGTGTGGAGAGCACGTCGGACGGCCTGAGGGACCTGCCGTCCATCGCCATCTCGCTGTGCGGGGGCCTCAGCGACAACCGGGAGATCACGAAAGGTACCGCGGCCGCGCGCGCCCCCTGGTGGCCGCCGGTCGGAAGTTGCAGGGCCCAGGCTCTGAGATGAGGTCCCGTCATTGGTGGCTTTTCCCTGGGTGTGGTTCCTGGTAGCACAGATGACTCATTGTGCTCCCAGTCCAGATGTTTCTGGCTTGCGCTTAGCTGAGCTCAGGGTTCCGTGGGTTGCACGTGGCCATTCATCAGGCGTGTTTGCGGAGCACTCTGTGTGTCTCCTGTGCCCCAGGCCAGCCCGCGGACATGACCTCCAGGAGCCTGTGGTCGAGCGGGAATGTCAGTCTTGTTAAAGCAGAGTGTGCGGAGGTGTGGGGGGAATGCTCCGGGTCTGGGAGGAGGGAGCGAGGGCCGAGTTTGTCTGTGGAAGTCCGGGAAGGCTCCCCCCTGGATTTGAAGGCTGCTGTCAGGGTGGGCGTAGGTGATCGATTCAGAGCTTTTCCAGTGTCTCAGCACAGTTCCGTGGTGAGTTGTGCCCAGGACCCCCAGCTGATACAGTCAGACGTTGTCAGCTGAATTGGGGACGGACCTAGGCGCGGCCCCGCCTTTCCCACCATCTCTCACCGCTTTGTCTTTTCCATCCCCCCACGGCCTGTGTGTCTGGCAGGGAGCGGGGCTGAGGCCGCGTGCTTCTCCCCTCTGCCTCTCAGGGGCCTCCTCCATGTCCCCTTCCTACCCAGGGTTGCCACCCTAGACTCCTGTCTCCGTCCTGAAGTCCCTTCAGGGCTTTGTGAAGTTCTTCTCACACAAGGCTGGGGCCTCTGTGTTCTGTCGCCTGCACCAGCCGGGCCCTCCCTCCATCGTGGGCTGGGACAGGTGCTCACTGGGTCCAGCTGACTCCGTTCATTTCATTTCACGACCTGGTCCTCACGGCCACCCTGGGAGGTGGATGCAGTTATTGTCCCCGTGCTACAGAGGAGGGGCTGAGGCCTGGGGAGATGAATCACTTGCCCAAGGTCACGTTGATAACTGTGACTGAACCCGAGGTAGCCTGGCTTCTGAGCCCCACGTCACCGTTGCTCTGCCTCCGCAGATGGGCGTGCGCACTGTCTTTTCCACACCGGCCCCCAGCGAACGTGTCCGCCCTCACGGAGGGTGCACTTCTCCCCAGGGCCTCAGTCCCGGCCGCAGCCTCCCTTCATTTCTGCACAGACGCTGCCCCCTGAGCGAAACGAGTCTCCCTTTACAAATGCATTTCGTGCGTTTCGTGGGATCATCCACACAGCTGGAATGCATAAACTCTCAAAAAACACTCGTGAATGACCGAATGAAAAATAGGCCTGTACAATACACCCGTGTAACAAAAACCACTCGCACCCCCTAAATCTATTGAAATAAAAAAGTAAAATAAATGAAAAAAAAAAGAAAAGAAAAATAGGCCTCACTGCGAACTGAATTTTCTTTTTCTTTTTCCCTTATTCCCTACGATTGCTGTCACAGATGCATTTTTGGAACAGGCCGTGTCCTATCAACAGTTTGTGGACAACCCTGCTATCATCGACGACCCCAATCTCGTGGTGAAGATTGGGAGTAAGTAAGTACGTCTCGAAAGTCTCTTTGGCAATAGCATGGTACTGTTTCAGTTTCATTTTTTTAAATACAGAGAGATCTAGACACTAGGCCTTAGAAATATATAACGTAAAATCTTTGCAAAACTTCATTATTTTGTCTTCACACTGGCGAAGTCTATGCCAGTAGAATGGGCACCGCAGCTGATAGGCTGGGTAACTGTCAGTCCTGTGGGGTTTTCATGTTCGTCTGCACTAGATTTTATCATTGATCGTGTGAGGTCGCGGTGCTCGGTCTGTGAGACTCAGACCCTGCACAGCACACAGACATGACAGCGTAACCTACGTTTCCGCCCCTTTAAAAATTTATCATCTGAGGTCAAGAGATGTGTGAGGTGTCTTTGAAGACTGTTAACAAACTTTTCTTCCTAAGTGGAAGTTGTGGATGCTTTCCGTATTAACTTGGGTTGCCTTGTCCTCGAAATGTGGCCGGACATGCCACAAGCATGTTGTGGTTTGGCGCCGCGACCACACAGTGGAGTTTGGGCTGTTGCAAAGCTAGCGGCCAGAGTGTCCCGGCATGTCCAGCTGTCCATCCTGCTGGCATGACTGCTGCTGGGCCCCTCACTGTGGCCACTGGGGTTAGGTGGAGGTGCGTGGGGGATGTAGCAACAGTATCAAGCTCTTTAAGGACCTTGCTGGGGTTCCAGAGCTTTCCATGACTGTTTTGCATGATATTAGAAAGGTTTTTGGTCTGAGATTTGGTCTTTTGATATCTGTTTCATTGTTTCTTATTAGATATTATAATTGGACAACGGCAGCACCTCTGCTCCTGGCAATGCAGGCCTTCCAGAAACCTCTGCCAAAGGTGAGCTTTAACATGAGGAAGAAAAGGGGGCACTAGGCATGATGGGTAGGTTAAGCTGGGTGGTTGGAATTTAACTTTTATTTTAGAAACCACAAAGTCAATTACATCATACTCTTTGGTAGTTCATGGGCAGCATGTTAGGAGTTTGAGATCTTTCTCTCTCACACCTTGAACATCCTTCCCCCTCCTCCGTATCAAGGCAAAATCCCCTAATCATGGCAGTGCAGACCAAGGATCCCTTTGCCAACACCTGCCGGGCTAGGGACACAGGTGGGGGCAGGGTGCCAGGGTGTCAGAGCCCAGCGAGGATGAAGGGTGGAGAGCATTGCCATTGAAGGGTTGGAGCACGCACTGGGGGACGCGACACACAGCAGGTGCCAGCGCCAGCCTCGGGCATTGCTCAGCCAAGAAGCCAGCCCTGTGCCTGATCCTCTGACGCAGGAGCCACTACAGGGCCTGGGCAGTGTGTGGTCTGCAGGGGAGAGTAGGTGAGTGGCTGCAGGGAAGAGTTAGGAGGGCAGGTGGGCAACCTGCGAGCCCACAGTGTGTCATCTTTTCCCGAACAGTTCATTGGACAGTCGGCCAGGAATTGTTAATTTTTTTAATGTCGTATCTTCCTACTGGATTATACATTCCTTTTGCTGCCGAGACCCTGTCTTAGACTTGTTTGTATCCTTTGCACACTTAGCAAGTGCTTTGTACTGCTTAGGATGTTGTAGTCCATCAGACAGTTCTAATGTCTGAGATTCTTTTTTTTTTTTGGAGGCAGAGTCTCGCTCTGTCACCCCGGTTAGAGTGCAGTGGCATCATCGTAGCTCACTGCAACCTCTAACTCCTAGGCTCAAGTGATCCTTCTGCCTCCTGCCTCAGCTTCCCAAGTGGCTGGGACTACAGGCACGCACCACTGTGCACAGCTGATTTTTCTATTTTTAGTAGAGATGGGATCTCACTCTTGCTCAGGCTGGTCTTGAACTCCTGAACTCAAGCAATCCTCCCGCCTTGGCTTCCCGGAGTGCTGGGATTACAGGCAGGAGCCACCTCGCTCATCCTAATGTCTGAGATTCTTGAAGGTCTAATCTGACTTTGTTGAGTCTCCATTTGCTCCTTCTTGGTTGTGTGTGTGTGTTGTGATTTGGGGGTTGTGACCTCATCTCTGCTGGTATTCTTTGTGGACTAGGCTGAGGGCATGTTCTCCTGAGTGGTTTTTATTCTGTCCCTGCCCTGGTAGCCATGGCTCAGGACAAATTTTTATGTTACATTTTTCAACTTTTACAAATCAGTAAAAAAAAAGACCAATGCAATAGCAATATAGTTAAAGGTTTTAGTCACAGAAAAAGAAATACACATGGCTGTGAAACTTAGAAGAAATTAGTTCTTGTGATATGCATGCCAAGTCTTTTTACAGGTTTAATCAGTAATTTTTGACTCTATGACATTTCTCTAATAAAGAAATTGTTTTTATATGTAGAATTTGTCACTCTTATCTTTTATGACTGTTGGGTTTTATGTCATACTTAGGGTGGCCCTGCTTCTCTGTTTTCAAAACTCGTGAAAACATGTCCTGCATTTTCTTCTCGTGCTTTCTTTAATTTTAAACCTTTGGTCTATTTAGATTTTCTTTTGAGAGTTATAAGGGAGATGTCAGGAACCAGAGCATTTTTTCCCAGCTAGTTATTGAGTTTGTTAGGATGCTTTTGGTTTTAGGAAACAGAATGACTAAAAGTGGCTTAAATAATAAGGGGTGTATGATCTCACCTGCTAATAATTGTAGAGGTTGGTGATTAATTTGAGTTAGCTTCTCTGTGAATTTCGTGGCTTTTTCTGTATGGTCACAAGATGACTGCCCATCATTTCCTCGTACGACCACATCCAACACAGGAGGGGTGGGGGCAGATTTCTCACATGTCGTTGGTGGAAACTTGGTCTCGTGATCACCTGTAAACTCATTGGCAAAACAGTGGGATGACTATGAATGGCTTAGACCAATCGAGGTTCACCCTCTGGAGCCGCGCCTGCCTTCCCCGAACGCACTGCGGCCTGATTCTCGAACAGAGTTTGGGATCTGCCGGCAAGAAAGACAGGGGGCAGGTGGGCAACTAACAGGATTGGCTTCGCTGCTTAATATCCCAGCACCATTCATTAAAGAACGCTTTCCCCACTGGTGGGTAATTACAACTTGATCCTCTTAAATTTCTCTGTGGATTTAGATTTATTTCTGGACTTTTGTCTTCTGTTCCTGCGACACGTTTACTCACGTACCAAGACCACATTCTTTTAGTTACCGTAGCTTTTAAATCTATTTTAATATCTGGCAGAGCTTGTGTGGACTTATTACTATTCTGCCTGAGAATTTTCTTGGCTATTTTTGTTTGTTTGTTACTCAAATGAACTTTAGAAAGAGTTTGTTCAGGTCTGAAAATAATCCTGTTAGTTTTTTTCTTTTTTCTTCCTTCTCTCTCTCTCTCTCTCTTTTAAATCAGTGTTTGGTTGCATTTAGGAGTGGATTTAGGGGAAATAGAGTAATTGATATCTTTGTGAATTGTCGTATTCATGAACAGGACACAAGTGTTTGCATTTTAGTATACTCAGGTTCTTTTGTGTCAGATAGGGGTCTTTTAAGCTAAATAGTGAATTATTTATCTGTCCACTTACCTGTACCCTGTTGAGTTAAAGGACTGAACTCTTTCTTTCATTAGTAGCTGAGGTGTCAGCTACTTGAAAGTTCTGTAAACTGACAACCTTGGTCCTAGCATTAGCCTCAAGGTAGATATTTTGTTCTTTTGGAAATACTTAGTAAATTAATTCATATTTAATTTCCCCCATCAAACTTTCATTCATCTAGGATAAAAGTATGAATTTTCCTTTGAATACTTGAGATTTTAAGTGAGATGCATCTATTAATGTCAAAATTTAGAATTTACACTTACCGAAAAATTCTGTGTATTTTACCTTTTGTTTAAAACTGTTTTATGCTATGCCTCATATTAATCATTCCATGTTTTATTTTATAATCATCATATTGAGGGTAACAGTATCTTAACCCGTTAGCCACTTTAATTTGCAAATCTTCTGGTCTTACTAATCACTAATGATTTTTAATGCTTTCTTTTTTTGTTGTTGTTGTTGTGTTGTATTTTATTTGTTGTTTGTTTATTCCTTTAACACCTTCTCAAGTCTTCATGCTTAAGTTACCTTAATGTAATTTTGGATGCCATTAGGTTTTGCTTCTCTAAAATTTTTAGTCCACAAATAGTATGTTCTGTTTCCTCTGATTTTTTTTTTTTTAATCTTACTTTAATTTGCATGTATGTTTCTTTTGGTTTGAATGTGCTAAGTTGATCTTTTTTTGGTTCCATTATTTATGTTACCATCCGTTTAAAACAGGCCACTGTGGAATCTATCATGAGGGATAAGATGCCCAAAAAGGGAGGAAGATGGTGGTTTTCGTGGAGGGGAAGAAACACCACGATCAAAGAGGTAAGCACAGAGAACAGACGCCTGCACTCGGCTCAGCAGGCGTGGTATCGGGCAGTGAAGTCGATTTCGTGTGCCCGCATCTGAGAAGTAAGCGTGAGTTCCTGTGAGCCAGCTCTGCCACAGCGCGGGGTGCGCCCTCCCGGGACGCGGGCGGGCAGAGAGGAAAGGAGAGGCGTGTGCAGAGTGGATGCACCTCCGGGCTCTGCTACCTGTCGGTCAGGTCACCCCCCTCCGTAGCATTTCTTCATCTGTAAAAAGAGGGGATTCGACCTAGTCATTTAAAAATGAAATCTCTTCCTCCTGCTTGTGAGGACAGTTCTAAGGAGGTGTACTTAGAGCGGCAGACGGGTCCTCACTACCATTTCACTGAAACGGCGAGTCTCACTGTGCGTGGCTGTGGCTTCCAGCTCTGCAAGTGCCTGGAGTGTTTTTCAGGTCTTTGCTGACCTCTCCACCTGTCTTCGCTCCCCTTCGGGCCGCTGCGTTTGCCCGGCTCTCCTCCTCCCTGCTCCCCGCTAGCTGCCCCCGGCTTAGCCCCCGTCAGGGCGTCCTCAAGGGTCGGCTTCTCTTGTGCTTTTACTCCTGGCTCTTCCCTTCCGCCCATGTGGATGAGTCCATTTTTATTTCCAAACCAGACACTGTTTTCTGCTCCACACCCATTTATCAAATAGCCAGCTCAGTAGACGTCTCCACGTGGCTGCTTCAAGCATTTCAGACCCCTCGTTTCTAAAACGGGACTCATGGTGTTCTCTCAAGCTCTTCCATCTTTGGAACCATAGTCAGAAAGTGGCCTCACTGTCCGTCCATAGTGTACATACTTCCTTCCTCCTCACTGCTCACTCCGAGTCCAACTGTTTCCCACCTAATGTTTCTCACATTTATCCACTTCTCTCCGGCTCCGCTCCACAACTCTACGCTACAGTCATCCCAGAATTGCTTCCACGTGGTCTGTTTGTACCCATCCCTGCCTTCTCTTCTGCATTCGCTGCAGTGTCGTTGGATTGGTCTCTTTAAGGTACCAGCTCTTACAGTGAAGACCACCGAGTGTCCTTACCACGGTCTACAGCACTCGTGTGCTCTCGCCCCTGCCTGCCTCTTTAACCTCATCTTTGTCACCCTCCCTCTGCCCTCTGTGCTTTTGCTTGGCTGGCTGAAAGTACATTCTACCCCAGGGCCCTTGCACATGATATTTCTTTGCTTGGTGTGCTTAGGACTCCTCTCCCTGCCTTCACTTAGTTAAGTAGCACCTCAGCCCTTTCACCGCACATTAGCCTGCTCTACCGTTCTCTGCCTGTGAGCTTCTCCTTCATAAATTTCGTCAGAGTTTATGATTATATACTTACTAGTGTGACTATTTGATTAACAGCTCTCTACCCCTCCAGACCCTAAACTCTATGAAGGCAGAGACCTTATATGGCTTTGATTGTTTTGGTGTTCCCGGTGCCCATATCGGACCCAGAGTAGGGGTTCGGCAAGTATTTGTTGAAGGAACAGTGATTACTTCTGTAATATAGTATGAAGAAACCACAAGGAAAAAAGTCAAGTCGGTTATTTTAATAGTAAAAGAAACTCCAGTTGGGGGACAGGTTTGCTGGAAGATTTTAATCAAGGTATAACTGTTCTTTGACATTTTCTGTTAGCATATCTGAGTTTTATTAATCTGTTTTATTGATCTTTAAGGGGTATAAATAAGTTAAAGCAAATGTATATGCTCTATTTTAAGGGGCTTAAAGCATAAAGAACCTTTCTAGTGTTCTTAATAAAGAGGAGAATGTTGTAGAATGTTGTAGAATTTAAGGTAGAAATATACTTCAAAGACCTCTTTGTAGAGTCTCCAAATTCTCATCAGTTCAAATTAAAGGGGATGCCAGTATAAAGTAAGGAACATTTATGAAGTTAAATATTTCTCAAAAAATCTGAAATATATTTATTTCGGGTAGGTGCATATTTTTGAACTAGCCAAATTAAAATTTGCTAGCAGTGGTGGCTAAGTCATGTGACTCAATAAATAGATTAAAAATAACTGAGTGTGTTATATCAAATATTTATGTATTTATGAAAAGACGATTTGAAACCAGTTTGTACTACTCATACGTTAAGACAGTCACCCTGTTATGTCTTGTATGTTGTTCATTTTCTTGATTAAGGAAATGACCAGGTGACCACAGATACGAGATTTTGTTGTCTACCCTGTGCCCTTGGCATTTGTCTGTCCTCTTGTGTCCTCCCGGAGTCTGTGGGGTCAGTGCCCATCTCCTCCCCCCGCCTGCTGTGTGCCGGGCTCTGTGTTCCAGACACAGGATGGCCTTTAATCCCCACAGCAGTGTCAGGAGATGGAGAACATCCCCCTGTCTCACGGATGAGGAAGTGAAATTCCGAACATGTAAATGACTCGCCTGAAGTTCGTAAGCGAGTGGAGCAGGACCTGGCCCAGGTGTTCTCTTAGAAATGCAAGACTCTCTTCAATACATCAAAGATGCATCTTTGATTAAGAGTATGCGGTATTGAAAAAGAGAAAAATGCGTCCACATTTTTCCCAAGCAAAATACGGTGTGAAAATATTTTCAAGCCTTTCTATCAGCAATTACTAGAAAATATTTTGAAAGCCCTCAGGAATCCAGGCAGCCCTTGATAAAGCATTTGCATAAGCTACACTGGTGATGACGTTTGGTTTGGTGCCACAAACACTTGTGGATAACAGACTTGTTGCTGTCAAAAATATTTCCTGGCTCGACTGTGTACTCTTAAGTGAAGGAATAACCAGGACCTGATGAAACAGACACACCCAGGGCCTCCCAGGGCCCTCTCGGGGTGTGTGTCCCTGGGGAAGCGTCCACCTTCAGAGCGCCTGCCCTGGGCCTTAGGGGAGTCCACAGGAGCATGCGAGCCGTGGTGGGAGCCCCTTCTCTGTGGTGCATTCACGACTCTCTTCTTTTCTCCCTCTCCAGGAAAGTAAGCCGGAGCAGTGCTTGGCGGGCAAGGGCCTCAGCACTGGAGAACAGCCGTCCCAGCTGGGCATGGCCACCAGGTACGGCAGGAGTCTTCCCGGGATGCTGCAGCCCCTCTCCGTGTCCAGGATCATGGCACCTGCCGGTTGGATGTTGGCAGGGTTCCAGCTCTGGCCCTGGGATTCGCTCAGTGACCTGGAGCAATTTGTGTAGCTTGGTTTTCCCATTAGCAAAATGGAGGGAGTCACTCCCTTCAATAGCTAATGTACAAGGTAAACGTGAGCCTTAAATAAGGTGCTGTAACTAGAGCAGTTCCCCTGGGCCTGGCCTATGCCAGCCCTCCATGCACAGATGAGGACGATGAGGATGAAGATCGTAATAATAAACAACAGCATTAACAGTAACATGAAAATAAGTTTTCCTTGTCAAGAAAATTCCTTTCTCTACAGTTTAAATTCTTGGCAGGGCTTACGTTGAGACTTTTCTAAATACGGATATGGATTCATGGAACTTGGCCCAGGAGAGGTTAGATTTGATGATACTGGTCAGTATTCGTGGTGTTTTGTCTTCAGGTTAATCTCTCTGTGCGGGATTAGTGGTGACTCTGCTCTGAGGACAGAACCAGTCCCCACTGATTACCGTACTACACACCGACACCGAACGATCTGTGTGCTGATAACGTCTTTCACATGTAACCCCGCTTTTACAGTATTCCTGTGCTTGAGAAGCCCAGGATTGCGTTTCTTATTTAGTAGACAGAAAACGCCAACAGATTCACAGATGAGGGCCAGACCCACATCTTAGTCATTTTTGTACCTTGGTGGCTGAGCCAGTGCCCAACACAGAGTAGGCGTCTCATGAACGTTGCTGAACTATTACGGAGCTGCTGAGATGTTCCTCATATGTTGTTGATTTAAAGGAGGGGCAGGCGTAGACTTCTAGTCCTCTGACTGCTGGCCATGGCTCTGTATCCTAAATTATTTTGTTTCTAGAATTCTTTGTTGGAAATAGACACTCACGTAGGTGGCAAGCAGGAAACAGTCTGATTTCTCTGTTCTCTGTGAAGAGGATGAGGGGGGACGAGGTGCGGGACCTGCTGTGATCGTCTTTGAGTGTGACTCTAAGTGGCCTAGGTCGTTCTGGGCTGGGAGGTTCTGGAGGGAAACCTTGCTGTTGTCCTCGGTGATACTGCAGGCGGTGCCGCTCGCTTCCCCGGTGCCGCCGTGCGCGCTCCTGTGCTCACAGCCGCGCAAGGGCTGCAGGCGTGGTGTTCCCGTTCCACTCCTCGCCCCGTCTCTGCTTCATTCTCCAGGGACGGGCGCTCGGGCACGATTACTTGGGTACTTTCCCAGTGGGGGACTCTGAGTTTGGCTGCGAGTGAGCTTGGAGGGGAGGAGGCAGGTGTGTTCCGAGTGGAGCACGGGCTGGGAACGGGCTGTCCTGTGAAGGGATATATAAAGCAGCCAGCACAGAAGCCGGTAGTTTCTAAATAAGTGGTTCTTTGCTCCCGTTAGCGGGAGGCAGCAAGCTGTAGCGGAAACAGCAGACTCTGGAGTCAGGCAGATCTCGTTTGGAATCCCTGCTTTGCCACTTAGTAATCATTCGACCTCAGGCAAACTGCCTGACACATCTGAGCAAAGAACCAGCACGAGGTGAATGCCCAGGCAGGCTGGGGGTGGGGGGGCTGCTGCTCCTGCGGGGGATGCTCGACCCCAAGGCAGGACACGAGAGCAAAGATGCAAAACCCTATGCCCTAAGCAATTTAAACCAATTTAAGCTGCACTAGCAATGCCCTGATTTCCTGAATGCATTTTAAGAACCTTCTCTGTCTTAGCAATAATTTCTAAACACAAGAGGTAGCACAGTGCAAGCTTAAGAGCAGGGACTCTGTCAGACAGCCCTCTCTGTGATCTTTGGCAAATTAATCCAGCCGTCAGTGTCTCCGTCTGTGAAATGGGGATAAGAATAACCCCAACACCATAGACTCCATCTCATTTAATCCTCAGGGCAGCTTCATGAGCAAGGTGATTCAGAATGAGAAAACCAACTCGGCCACGCTGGAGATCAGTGCCCGCAGGCGGCTGTAGGGGAACAGTCAGGAGCGTGCCTGTAGCCACCTGGAGGAAACGTTTAGTCCTAAGCCATGCAGTTTTATAAAATAGGCTCCATGGGCTGGTGGCTGGGTGTCTGCCAAGTCCATCCTGCCATATGCCATCTTTGACCCAGGCGCAGATGGGCCTGAGGGCCAGAGAGCCAGGTTCACAAGGGATACAGGACGACAACACTGTATCCCTACGTGCAGGGAGGGGGCTGCACGTAGAGGCGTGGTGCCGTCACTGGTGTTCCGTGACTTTATTCTTACCCCTTCGAGCTGTAGCAGCGAGGGCCCGGGAGAGTGGAGGGAGAAGTTTTGTAAGCTCTTCCCGAGTTGGAGCATCAGCCCCTGCCATTTACCTGAAGCGTTCTGGACCTTCTTACTGTCTGATACAGTCATATTCTATATTTACAAAAAATGCTTTTCCCTGTCAAATAGAAACAGTCGGACCATTGGCCATTCCGAATTAGTCATACCACGCTTCCTTATCAAACTTGAAAAATTAAGACTTATGAAAAGGCACCATTCCTTGTGAAAAGGAATTGAGATTTTGAAAAGAATTTATATGAAGTTCTCTTGAGAAATGTAAATCTTTTAATTTATACTGGCATCTTAGACTTTTAGTCTCTTTATTAGAGTCATGCAGTTGACTTGACAAAAAGGTGTCAGAATGTTTTTCCTAATTGACAGACGTGATTGACAGCACAGTCCCCGAAGTCCCATAATTGAGCAAACAGCTTGTCACCATACAAATAATTAAAATACCCTTTGAAAAATGCACACTGTGACAAGTGCTGACTTCAGTGTTGTTCACAGCTACCCGTCTGAACACAGATTTTCAAATGACACGAGCCCTTTGTTTTGCTGCTTCTTGCAGACACTGTAAAGCGAGCGCATTTAATGAGCCATCGTAGGGGGGAGGCGGGGGCCTGAGAATGGGAGGCACTGTATTCCACGCAGGGCGGCAAGATCTGGGAGGTGGCTGCCGCAGGTGACCATTTACTTGCCCTAAGTGAGACGACCAACAGCCAACTGCACAACTCCCGTTTTAGCCTTGGTATCTGTGTTTTCCTTTCTGTGTTCCTTCAAATATGGCATGCTGCACAAATTTAGTTTTGTTTTCTTCCTTAAAGCACCAGATGGAAATAACAGCTATTCTGCCTTGCGTCCTTATCCTGCCGACAGAGGTACACATCAATCTGTTGTCACCAAGGGCTTTGGTTCGCATTTGGTTCTCGTTTCGCTCCAAACTGGTTGGAACGTAAACATTTTCCTATTCAATGGGGGGCCTGTAGCCTCTTAGCCTCATTCTCCTTCTGACCGACAAGGAGAACTCCCCCCGCCCACCCCGACCCCAGCTCTGGCAGCTCCAGGACCACGTCTGCTCCGTCTGAAAACCTCTGTGTCGTTGGTTCAGAGGAACCAGTGTTGTTCATGGAATCCACAGGTGTTGGAACTGGAAGGGACCTCTGTTGGAACGTGTCATTTTACAGACGAGCTGCCAGAGGCCCAGAGAGGAATTACCTGGTTTGAGGCCTTTCCTGGGATTCATGCCTCCCAGTCCAGGTGTTTCCAGGCGGTTACCTGCCTGCAGCTTCGGTTTTTTGGTGGGCAGGAAGCAATTTGTTCCTTTGCATTTTCCAACGAGGACACCAGGGTTGAAAGACAAAAAAGTGATTTGTCCAAGGTAATACAGCATAAAGTCACTACGGCTTGAAACCTGATTTTTCAGATTGTACGTGCTGTGCCATCTCCACTCTAGGTAGAAAGAGCCCCTCATGTTATGCTTTTGTTCCATCCGTGCGTAGCTAAGCCCTGCCACCGACCGACCAGAACTCTAGCCCGTGCTCTGCCCTCTCCTTCTACAGAGTCTCCTGTTCCCGTGGCTTGTTCACCAGAGCTGTGTCCCAGTGTCCCCAAATCTGTGTCTCCAGTCCAAGTTGCTGTGTTGTGATGGTTTAGACCAAAGCCGCATGTGGGTAGGGACCAGGTTGTTTGCTATGTCATCAGCACCTGGCACCGGGTGTGTCAGTGTTGGTTGAATGAGCCCCAGGCACCCGGCCCGGAGCCCTTCTCCTGGGGCCCGCGGGGGGGCAGGTGCTTAGGGAAGGGCTGACCCTCTGGACTGGAAGGGGCCAGGTCTCCACACAAGACGTAGTAGAAACCACACAGAAGTGGGGGTGCATGTGACAGTGTCCTCCCGAGTACTGGACAGTAGTGCGTTATAGGCATCACTTCTGGAATGAACACTTGTGGGGTCAAAGGCAGCAGGTTGCGCAGGAGATTTTATGGGACGGAAGCAGGGGTGGCAGGAGGCTGGAGGAGGAGAGGACATTAGCACTGAGAGGTGAGAGCTCACTGAGATGAGACGCACATTGGTGTGGCTTCTCTGGAGAAATGTCTGTTCAGATCCTTTGCCCCCTTTTTAATGGGATTGCTTGTTTTTCTCCTGTTCAGTTGAGTTCTTTGTGTGTTCTGGATATGAGTCCCTTGTCAGATGAATACTTTGCAAATATTTTCTCCCATTCAACAGGTGGTCTCTTCACTCTGTCGATTGTTTCCTTTGCTGTGCAGAAGCTTTTTAGTTTGCTGTGGTTTCTTTTGCTCAATATCACTGATCATCAGGAAAATGCAAATCAAAAACTACAGTGACATTATCGTCTCACCCCAGTTAGAATGGCTACTATCAAAAAGACAAAAAGTAACAAATGCTGGCAAGGATGCAGAGAAAAGGGAACTCTTACACACTGTTGGTGGGAATAATACAGCCACAGAGGAAATCAGTATGGTCATTTCTCAAAAAGCTAAATACAGAACTACCATACAGTCCAGCAATCCCACTACTGGGTATTTATCCAAAGGAAAGGAAATCAGTATATGAAGGGGATACCTGCCACTCCCATGTTTATCGCAGCACAATTCACAGTTGCCAAGACGTGTAACCAACCTCAGCGTCCATCAGTGGGTGAATGGATAAAGCAAATGTGGCACATATACACAACGGAGTTTTGTTCAGCCGTAAAAACAAACGAAATCCTGTCATTTATAGCAACGTGGATGGAGCTGGAGGCCATTGTGTTTAGTGAAACAAGCCAGGCACAGAAAGACAAATACCGCATGTTCTCACTCTTACGTGGGACCTAAAGAAGTTGATCTGATGGAGGCAGAGAATAGAATTGCGGTTACCAGAGGCTGTAGCAATAAACATTTTTAAAAAGAGTTAGAAAAAGATGAGATGAGCTTTGTCATGCGCTGATCTTGCTGAGTGAGATGTGCTGAGCCTGAGGCTTAGCAGGAAGGTGAAGCGCCTGAGGGCTTGGGGTGCACCTGCTTTCGGGGCCACTTGGCCTTTTCCGCTCAGCCCGAGACATGTATTAAGCACTTCCTATAGTATTAAGGCATTTTCAAAGGTAATGATCGTGGAACGCAGAGCTAATACTACCAGGTCAGGGATTAAGTCACAGCAGGATTTTCCTCCAGGGAACTGCTAATTACTGGGATGCTTTCTATGAGCTATTTAAAGAAAATGAGCCTGGTTCCCACCCTGTACCTCCCGCCTCCCCTCACCAAACAGAAAAATCTAGAAGAGTTAGGGGCACTGGCCTGTGGATTCTGCACAGGCAAATAAGGTGTTTTCGTTGCTGGTGTGATAACCTGGGTAGGGACTGTGGAGCGGAGAATTGGTGAGTCTGCCCTGTTTTCACTGGTACCTGTTTCAGTCCTCCAGGTGCCCTCATTGGTGCGAGTTGTGTATCTGGAGATGTGTGTGCAGGGAACTGGCTGACCAGTGTGGCCTGCAGTCTCAGATGGGAAGAGAAGAGAAGCAGAGAAGAGAGTGTTAGCGTCTTCCTAGGCCAGGAGGGAGTTTAACCCTAATTGTCATGAACCTACAGGCTTAAAGCAGAGCCACGGTGGCTGGTAACTGGGCAAGTGAATGAGGAGAGGCAGCCCCCACATGAATAATGCACGAGATATGTGGAGGGGGTTGTAGGCGAGTTCATTGATAAATCTAATGCCATATGGTAAATGACCACCCAAGAGACAGTGCTCAGGAGAGACCTGATTGACTTAGTCATTGATTCAGGGCTAATGCATTTTTAATGGCCACGCAGATGCATTTTCTAATTGGTGGTGACATCACTGTGTTCCAGAATAAAGCATGAGTCATCCTCCAGCGACGAGGAGCACGCAGCTGCCAAGCCATCCAGCGCAAGCCACCTCCCCCTTTTGTCTAACGTCAGCTACAAAAAGACTCTGCGGCTCACTTCGGAGCAGCTGGTGAGCCTCTCGTTCTTATATCGCGTGGCTGAGCGTGTCAGTCCTCGGCATTCGGGGGTCCTGCAGAGCTGCGGGGGTGTGCGTCGTGGCCTGGGTGTTCCCGGCGCTTTCCTCCCAGCCTGCCCGCTACCCCGCCGCCTGCCGCATGTCTCCAGCTGACTCCAGCACCCCGCCTGGCGGGCACCTCAGCATCATTTCCTCTTCTGCCCTCCCCTTTTTCTAACGCAGCCCGGGAGGCTCTTGTTCTCTAGTGCGGGGAGCGAGGGAGCCTGATGAGCTCATTGATCTGAGCTATCTATGACCGATAGACTTTAAAGTCTCTCAAGGGGGGTTTCGCTTCAAGAGGAACGTTTGTTAACTCAAATGCATCTCTTTGAATTGGTGGAAATCAAGCAGCTGTGATGGAATTTAGGGAATTTCAGGTAGCAGGGGGCATCATCTGGTTACAGTGTCCTTGTGTGTATGTGTAAGACCAGTTTGAATCAAAAGCCCCTTCCTTCCCGTTAGACTATTTTCCGCAGTTTCCGTGACCAGTCAGTGAGCAAATATCCTTGTTTTTTGTGAGTAAAGTCTTTTGCGTGTGTTCTAAGAGTCAGCGAGGAGCCTGACTTGGTTGTGATGGTGTGTAATGGGAAAAGGTAAGGAACAGGCCCAGCACCCACTTAGGCCACATGTGGGACCCTGCACTCTGGGAGTCTGTGTGACACACGGCTCCTGCCAGCGACGCAGGGGGACTCCGGAGTCAGTAGCATGTGGTCTGTGCAGCGAGCTGGCCCGCATCAGAGGGGCTTGGCAGAGAGGCCCAGAACTGCCAAAAGGTAAATTTGCTTTCTGAATTTGGTGCAATTTCCTTGGGCCTAGACTATATTCTTCTGGATTTGAGGCATGACTGATACCTGAGACTTCTTTTTTTCCAATTTGGGTCAGTCTAATAACCATCGAAACATGGTTATTTAGGGAAACATATTTTCACACTTGGCCTAAATTTGTCTCCCCAAATCACGGCCCTTCCTGTTGAATCATGAAGTGGTAAGCCCGTCCTGTTCTGAAATGGCGAGTTCCTCTGCCGGGCCTGACGGCCTCTCGTTTAACCCCGTCTAATGATTCTCATCCACAAGTGCTGGCTGGAGTTGGCACTGCGCTTGGCAGGGGAGCCCTCTGTAGGAGGTGGGCAGACGGCAGTACCGTGGGCCTGAGGACCAAGGCGCAAAGTTGCCTGTCCAGCCCCGGGAAGAGCTAGAACAAGGAAGGGGAAAGAAAGATGGTACAATTGCCCAGGGTCATGGTTCGTTTTTAAAAGCTGAATCCTACTTTTTAAGGAACTGAAGCCAAACACCCCTCAATCTGGGCCTTCCCCCAAGTGGTGCAGACAAGTGGTTCATGTTTTTCAGAAAAGCTTGAAGTTGAAGAATGGCCCCAACGACGTGGTGTTCAGTGTCACCACACAGTACCAAGGCACCTGCCGCTGCGAAGGCACCATCTATTTGTGGAACTGGGACGATAAGGTCATCATTTCTGACATCGACGGAACCATCACCAGGTAGGTGCAGCTGATCGGGGGCCGTGGGAACATCATGGGACTGGTGCGGTTCAACTTGTAGTGCAGTTGGAGCTGCCTCTGTAGTTTCAGTTCCTTGAATTCGAGAGCTGTATTCAGGGTATAGTTGTTTCCTGGGTACCATCTCCCCAACTCTTGCTCCAATGGGTGCTTCCATTCTGCCTCTTCTGAATGGCCTTCTCACTTTGATTTCACAAGCCACGGCCTTGGCGCGTGGTCAGATTGGAGGTGGATTAGCACGGCCTTCCCTCAGCGCCCTCATGTGATCATGTGGACCTTGAGTTTCTATCCGGAAAGCAAGTCATGGGGCTCGTTCGCATTTTTCACGAGGCTCGAATGGTGCAATGAACCTGAACGAGATTTTTATTTTCTTTTTTTGTTTTTTATCTTTGATTAGATCAGATACACTTGGCCACATTTTGCCCACCCTTGGGAAGGATTGGACCCACCAGGGCATTGCTAAACTGTACCATAAAGTGAGCCAGTAAGTACAGAGTGTGTGTTTCCGTCTCTGTGCACGCAGAGGCTTTCCTGCCAGGGCGCTCGGTGACTTGCAGAGCGGAGTGGGCTGCACGTGGAGCAGGAAGGGGCCGTGGGGGTGCGGCGGGGAGTCCAGCGTGCGCCGTGAATCCCGGCAACTTCAGATTGAATTCGGTACCAAGAAACGAGGATGGAAATACAGATGAATCAGAAATTGCTCAGAGAAAGCAGAAGGTGGCAGTGTTAGGGGCGAGATTGAGGTTCAGTTCATACCGAGGAATGTCAGAAGTAACCAGATGAAGAAGCGGCAGGCTCATATATGCCAAACCATTTCCTGTAGGCTAAAAACTTGCAGATTCCGAGCAAGCTTTGGCTGCGGTTCAGGTCTCGCCAGCCAAGCCGGCAGCACACGTCCTCTCCACCTGGTCTCTGGAGCACTTCCCGTGAGTGGCCAAAACGGAATGCGTCCCTGTGGGGCCGCCGCAGCGACATCGGGTGGGAGAAGGGTTCTCAAACTGCTGTCCTGTGTCAGGCACCGGTATTCCTTCACTTAAATCGTGCAGTAATTCTGAAAGGCATGTAACATCATTTCTGTGTTTAGACAAGTGAAATTAACTCAGAGGGTTAGAGTTATTTCTCCAAATTCCCATAGTCCTAGTCTGCCTCCGGCGTTCCGAATGCCGGGATTCTCCACACCCAGCCTCCGCATCAAACACCCCCGTCCTAGTTGCCGGGTCCAAGTCTCTGACCCACTTAGTCACTTTGTCCAGCTTTCCGTGGGCTGGAGTCTCCCGTACGTGTGAAACTGCTCCCTCAGTGTTCTCCAGCCAGTGGGAGCTGGAAGGTGGCTCTGTCTGAATCAGGACAGCCCCATCTTCCCATGGGCGAGGGCGGCGAGGAAGTCACACGCTGGGTGAACATCAGGGTGGAAACTGAGGCCTGCGATTCCCAGCTGATTGATGTGCTCCCCTCTGGCCGCCATGGTGCTGATGGGAAATGGGCAACCAGCGAGCGCTGTTTCTGGAACTCTGTGAACAGAGATGAATGAAATACACTTATCTATCCTCATGCATTGATCCATCCATCCCGCATTCGCCGGGCACCTCTCAGTGCCCAGCCTGAACGCTGATCCATCCCTTGAAGCGCAAATTCCACGAACAGTTTGGGTCTGTCTTGCAGCACTTAAAAAATTTGTGTACATACCCTTCCCTCTGACATGTACGCAGATTATTTAATTTGATATCATGTCTGTTTTATTACATGCAGGATTAGCTTATTCTTTTCAGCTCCTGCACGGAATTCTGTTCTATGGATGTACCATACTTTATTTAACTAGCCCTCTATTGATGCACCTGTAGGTAGTTTCCAGTTTTTTCACTGCTTCCAGCAGTGGTGCAATAAGCATTGACACAGAACATTTATAATATGTAACCATACATAAATAAATAACGAAACACACACATTTAGGGAAGTGCTGCCGTAAAGTAGATTCCCAGAAGAAGAATTGCCGAGTCAAAGGATGAACACATTAAAGGTTTGATCAATATTACCGAGTTGCCCTCTAAAAGGGTTCTCCCAGTCTGCGCTCCCATAGGCAGTGTTCTTGCAGGACCCTTCCCCGCAGCCGCGCCACGGGCAGACCTTGCATTTAGCAGGATTAATCTACTCAGGAGCTGTCCTGACTTTGCATGACACTGAAAATTGCATCTATTTTTAGTTGAAGGAAAGGAACCCTCATGGGTCAGGATATTGAGCAGTGCACAGCCTGGTTCATTTGGTTTTTGGAACATAAATCTATTCCTGTCCTTACTGTAACATTTAGAAAGCACAGTCACTTTTGATATTTTTTTGGTCTTGATTTGTGTCTCTATTGGATTTTCTCAGAAGAGAGATTTTCTTGAAATATAAAGTTGCGTAGCTTACCCAAGAGCGCCTGATGATTCTTTTCTTTGATGGATTGGTCTAGAATGAGTGAAACCTGTCAGTTAGGATCTGAGACTATGATAGGATTGTTTTTATATTATTGTGGTTGGGAGGTAGGGACAGGGCGTGATCTGGAGACATGACATTTGTGTGCTCATTGACACGTGTCGGCGGCGGCACCCGGTCAGGACGGCCAGGGCTGCTGAAGCGCTGTCTCCAGCACAGCTTGGCCACAGCCCCGGGGCCTCCCCACTCGGCACTTACAGCACGAAGTGCCAGTTGTGTGGCATTCAAAGCCCGGCAGTTTCCATTCCAGCCTCTGCCGGCTCCTTATTTTCCGCTGCTGCTTCCCAGGCCTTCTTGCTCTAATCGAGCCGACCACGTGTCCGCTCCGCGCTTGTTCCCTTGTTTCTGCCTTTGCTCGCGTGACGGCCTCTGCTCAACCAGCCTTTACAAGCTCTGATTTATGCCTCAGCGTGTATTCAGCCTTTGTTGCCTGGCTCAGGAAGCCTCCCCAGGCTGGATCCGTGAGCCGGTCAGCTTTCAGCTCCTCCCCATCCCTGGGCTTGCCGGACTCTGTGTGGACACCCAAGGCCCGGGCCTGCCCTACTGGCCTCGGTCCCCATTGTGGAGGACCAGGCTGAACATGATGGCAGCCTTTTTGTGGCTGCCTATTGGTTCAGGTAAATTCCTGTCCTGGAACCTCTCACAAGCCACCTTGCTCTTCAGCAACCACAGCTGGGGAAGCGGTGGGCTGCGAATTAGCAGGGGCCTGTGACCCCCTATTCTAACAAGTCTAGCTCATTCTTTTGAAGCTGTGTTGTTATTACCCAGATAAATACTGGGAGACGTGTTTAGCACTCTGGAGTGCCAGGAAAAAGATACCATTGAATTCAGGATTTTGGACTTGTTACTCTTTCCTGACGCTGTTTCTCTTGAATTTGGGAACCACTTCCTTTCGTGCCCTGCAGTATTTATCTAATGAAGAAATCAGTCTTGCAGTTAGCCACTTGCCTGGAAACAACAGAAAATAAGGACACGTCTATTTATTTTTTGCTGAATTTAACTATCTGTTTGAATATGGTCAGCCCATGAGAAATTATCTGTAAGGCCGACTGGCAGCTTGTTCATAGAGAAGGTATAAAGCTTGCTTGGTTAATTGATTAAAAAGAACTATAGTAAATACAAGTGGAAGATATATGAAACTCCCTCATATTCAAATATATTCAGTAAGTAGAAGGAAAGTAAGGAAGGACTGTTTCCTAAAATATCTAAATCATTGAGCTAATGGGTCTTTGGAACCTAAATTTGGACAATAATTACTCGAATTCTCTACCTTATTTAATGTAATTTTTGTATTCATGTAACCAGAAATCAGCATCTTCATGACTTAGCGAGAATGAGTATACTTAATGTGTTTTTACAGATAAATTAGTTCCTCTGTGTCATCTCGAGACAGCGTCCTGGGGTGAGAAATGTTCATTCGCAGACCCGTTAGCATCTTTTTCTCTTCTGCCCACAGCAGTTCTTTCTTTCTTTCACGTCAGCTCTTCTTAGTTTATTGCAGGCATCACTGTCTTCCAGGAAGAGATAGGATGACGTGTGAGCAGAAGGTCTGATTGGGAGTTGGGACCGAGATTCCAGAAGTGGCAGCCATTCTCCCACCCTAGGCCCTTGGACCAAGGACGTTCGCACACTGAGCTTTAGTTTCCTTTTCTCCGAAATGAGGAAATTAGACTAGATGATCCCTTAGGTGATTGCCTGCCTGGAAGTGCTCTGCTGGTAGGTTGTGTGGCTGCATTGCACGAGTGTCCACGTACGACAGCGGAGCGTTGTCTTTCCAAGGCAACCCCAGTCAGGACACCGAGGGATGAGCCACGCTCTGGTTGCACACCTGCCACTCCAGGAGCTATCCCAGGTGCTGTCGGGGGTGTGGAGCAGGAGCTTGTGGTCCTGTCGGGGGAGACGTTCAGAGCTCCCTGTCAGAAGCCAATGAGGGGGGAGGGTAGGTCCAGTGAGAGAGGTGCTGATTGGTCTTGAAACTCCTAGCCTCTAGTGATCCTCCTGCCTCAGCCCCTGAAAGTGCTGGGATTACAGGCGTGAACCAAGATGCTGATTTTATAGGACATGAGCGAAGGAGAAATTAATTTGGGTTGGCCAGAGGTAACAGAGGTTTCTGTGAGAAGGTGCCTCTTGAACTAGGTCTTAGTGGGTGAGCTGCGTTTGGAAGGAGAGAAGAGGCGGGAGATGGGCAAGTAAGTGTGTGGTGAGCTCATGGAGCGGGAAGGCGCTGGTGCCGAGGGTCGGTTGGGGAAAGAGGAAAGTCGACAGGAGCCAGTTGCAGAGGGCTTTGAAGGCCAGGCTGAGACCTGGGTTTGGCACAGAACCTTCCCTCCTTAAGGTGGCTGGTGATCATCCCTCCTCTTAGGACTTGCAAGTGGGACCACAGAGTCCCTTTTCTCTATAACAGTGATTTTGCCCCCGTGGAGCATATGGCAGTCTGGGGACAGTTCTGTCGTGACAGGGCATGCTGCTGGCGCTTAGTGCATGGAGGCAGCGACGCTGCTGAGTGTCCTACGATGCAGCGTCATAGGGACCTCTTTCCCCAACAAACCTTTGTCTGGTCTAAGATGTCAAATTTGAGAAACTCTAATCTAGAAGCTTATTCTGCAAAATGCTCCCAAAGGCAATCTTTCCAAACGATTTGAATTTCCTTAGGTCAGTATTTTGAGAGAGTTGTGGAGACTGGGACGGAGGGGAGGAGGACTGTGCGCACCGAGCCTGGGCACGGTGGTTCTTTCTGTTTTGCTCTGTGGTGTCCCCAGAGCCCTGCTGCAGTTGCCGAGAATATCGGAGGAACGGGGCCATCCTCGTGTGTATATTGCGCCTCTGTTCACCTGCCCTTCCTACCCGAGTCCCGCCTCTGCTCTGTCACCTGTCCTGCTTGGTGATTTTGGCTTTTCCCACAGTACTGTCTGCCCCTGCAGGGCAGGGCCGTGCCATGCCCATGGGCACCCCCAGCCCCGCGTGCGGCTTGGCACAGGAGCGCTCAGTGAGCATGCACTGGAAGGATGATGGCGGGAACCTACAGACTGAGTAGGGACTTGGGCAGGGCTGGCCTGTAGGGCGTGTCTGAGTGAGGGGTGTTACCCGCAAGGGCACCATCGAGACTTGGTTGCCGCCTGAGCATTTGGTGGGACACTTGTTGGCATTTCAGACAGCTTTCATTGAAGGCGGGAAGGAAGGCTCTGGAAGGGTAATCCTGCTGCCACCAACAAGCATTTCCCCCGTTACGACATCCTCAAGCTGGGTTTCCAGCTAAGTTTAGTAACAGCCCTTGCAGCAGAATGCTCACACGCTGACAGCAGCTCAGTGTCATGATCATGCTACGAAATGTGTTTGAAAATCAAGTTTCGAGTAAATTTAGCATCTCAGACCCCTGCAGGTGGTAGCATTTAGGACTTCGATGTGAAGAACTATACATAGAAATAGAGTTTCTTTAAAAGATTGCATTAATTAGACAGCTAAAATACAAAGGTGGATTCTTGTATTCCAAACAAGCTGATATTTCCAGATGCCTTTTTTCTTAAAACTTTCCTGTTTCTTGGTTTTAAAGACCATATTATTAAGCAATTCTAGAGACAAGTCCTTTGGCCACCATAAAATATTCATGGCAGAACAGTAAGTGGGTAGTTTATTTGCTCATTCAGCAGATAGTCACCAAGTGTCCACTGTATGCCCAGCACTGTTTTGGCAGGGGGGCGGGGGTGGTTCTCGTGGGGTTTATGGATAAACGAGCAACACGGACACAAGGACTGTAACACAGTGTCAGTGATAAGTACCTCGAGGAGAAAGAGGGCTGAGCCAGGGGCTGGTGCCAGGGTGAGGAGTGAGGGTGTGTGTTTCATGACATGGGTGTGGTCACAGGGAGGGCCCTCGGGGAGGTGGATTTGAGCAGAGACCTAAATGAGGCAAGCCAGCGGGCCCTGGAGACGAGGGGAGCGGTGTTCCAGCAGGAGGAACAGCACAGGCAAGTGCCTGCGCAGGAGTGAGCGTGGAGGGTTGCAGGGATGCTAGGCCGGCTCTGCGGCCTGCCAGGAATGAGGCGTTGGGCAGCCCTGGCAGGGGGGTCGCAGAAGGAGGGAGGGGCCAGGTCTTCTTGGCCTTGCAGGCCGTGGCAAAGGAGGGTGTGGATTATGTCTGCAAGAGATGGCAGACCTTGCGGGGACGGTTTGAGTGTGAGCGGATTGAGTTTTGTTTTCTTAGGGTGCCGTGTGATGGGATAGAAGCAGGGAGAGGATTCAAGGCTGTTGCCGTCATGGAGGCCAAGAGGCCGCGGCGGTGTGGGCAGGGCAGTAGTGTGGGGTGGCGCCGAGCGGGCGGCCTGGGGAGTGCGGGTGGTGAGAAGAAATGAGGGCCGAGACCCCGGGGTGCTTGTTCGTTTTGAGCTGGGTGGAGCAGACAGAAGCGGCCAAAGCGATGATGCGTCTTTCTGGGGATGGCCGTGAGGAGGAGCCAGCCTGGAGACTGTGGGTCCTGGGCGCCGAGTGACGAAGGTGCTCTGGAGGGAGGAATGAGCCCTGAGGCCGACGCCACTGGGAAGTCTTTTCCTGCGAGGATGGAGAGGTGGCGCCAGGATTTGGCGAGATGGGCATCCAGGTGACCTTCACGGGGACGGGGACGGAGGGGACTGGGAGCCTGCTTGGAGTGGGCTGGGAGGAAGTGGGTGAAGCGGTGGGGCCAGTGCCCGTGCACAGCTCTGTGGAGGAACTTTGCTGCAGAGGGTACCAGAGAAGGGGGTCTTAGCTGGAGAGAGACTGGGGGTGTTTGTGGTAGTTTGGTTTGTTTATAGGGTGAGATGAGCAAGGTTATGGCATATTTTTGTGCTGGTGGGAATTATCCAGAATACAGGGGGGATTTGGTGGGGGTGAGTGAGGGAGTTTGAGGGGAGGCTGGGCTCAGCACTGGAGCAAGGGTATGAATTGCAGGCAGCCGTGGACCTGTCACGGGTCGGTGGCCCTAGCCGGGAGCAGGGACAGAGTTGGCTGGTTTGATGCTTCTCAACCTCAGTTTCTCTAGCAGCAAAACCAGGGGAAAGCACCATCCCCCCAACCATGTCCTCCTAAGGATTAAAGTGGGGAATGTGGAAACGCCTCGTGAACCACAGTGAAACGCACTTGGGCTTGTTTCTCAATTGCAAACCGAAGTTTGTGGCCCGTGGACCTTCACGTGCGGAGGAACTTGCAGCGTGCCGTTCTGCACGAAACAGATGGGGGTCGGGGCTTGCGAATGCAGAAAGCTTCTGTCTCTTGTGACGCCACTGACTGAATGTTTTGTCTCTTTTCCAGAAACGGCTACAAGTTTCTCTACTGCTCTGCCCGCGCCATCGGCATGGCGGACATGACGCGGGGCTACCTGCACTGGGTCAACGAGCGGGGCACGGTGCTGCCGCAGGGCCCACTGCTGCTCAGCCCCAGCAGCCTGTTCTCCGCCCTGCACAGGTACCGCCCCAGCCGCTCAGGCCGCTGTCCTCCTAGCCGCAGGCCACCTCGCTGGCCTTCTCCACCCAGCACCCACCCTCTGTAGCAGGCACCAGAAAAATCATTCCAAGGTGCAGGCCTCGCCTGTTACCCCTGGCAGGACGCTCCACTGGCTCCTGCACCCTGGGGATAAAGTCCAGATTCACTGGGGGCACGAGCGGCGCTTAGGGGCTCCCCAAACCCTGCCCCTCCCTGTCTCCAGTCCTGTCTTTCCCCGCTCCCCATGACTCAGTCTCTGCCACTGAGCTGGTGTTCTCTACCTGGAGCCTTTGCACATGCTGTTCCTGTTTTGGGGTGGCTCTCCTGCTCCCCCTTTCCCTGAGTGGCGTGGCTGAGTCTCAGTGGCCTTTGGAGCAGCAGCTTGTATCTCACCTCATTGGGGAACCTAGTCTGGGCTAAGTGGCCCCTCTACCAACCTCCACCGTCCACCTGGACTCGGGCTCTGTCACACTTGTGGTCCTCTCTCTCAGGGTTCTAGAAATACTGTGTATTTTAAAGGTCCTCTAACAGTCCACTGGCCAGTTTCTGATCACCGTCGTCCCTTCACTTTCTGGGCTGTATTTAAGGCAGCTAAGCCATACTGACTCTGGCCCCATGGAGACAGGGAAGGAAAACTCTGGACTCCTATAGTTTGCAGCCAGGACAGTTTCCCAGACTTCTCTCAAAGCGTGATCTCTTGTGGTCAAACACAGGACGCCGGCCCCTGCTAAATGCTGATGGTAACTATCCCATGCTTGGTCTTTGAGACCTGAAGAGAGGCTGTGGCATCATTTTGCCTGCATTTGGGGACCAGATTAGCTGCTTGCTGCTGCTAACTGTGCAAACAGTAGAAAAACCTAGAGGAACCCCAGATGCCATGTTGATTCTTGAGTGTTTCTCTTTAGCTCTATAGATACCTTTTCCATCACAGCTCTGTTTCATGTGAGCAGTACTTTTTTTCCTTTTTCAAGTAAAAGATCTTGAATTGAAACTTGCACATTCTAGGGAGAAAATTCAGGCAAAACCTAATATATTTCAAGTCCCAAGAGCTCTCATGGCACCATAGATCACAGTAGAAATCCTGATAGTTTAGTGAAACTGTGTCTGTGAGCCATGCTGACAATTTGCAGTAGGCTGCTCAGTAGCATGTTAGGTACTAAGGCCTTGCTAGGCTAAGTAAAAAGTTGACATTATTACTCTGATATCCTACCACTAAAAATAAGTTTAAAGTGATCCCTTTCATTTTCTTATTTAAAGATAATTGTCCAAAATATATTGCTTTTTCCCTACGATGAATTTTTTTAAAAAAACGAATCCTCATAATTTGTACATCCTCTTGGGAGATGGAGGTGCTTCTGTGGCATGGAGCCACCAGCCTGGCCCTTGCCACAGCCACCGCCAAGGCAAAGCCATTGCATGTGTGGGCGGCCCTGCAGACTTTCTAGAATTAATGGCTAAGCGTGCCGTGAGCACAGATGACCTTCCTTAGCAAGACTCTTTAGCTGGGTGCAGGTCTGGCTCTGCTGCCTAGATTTAAATTAAAACGAAGGAAAAGGCATGTAGTGGGTGGGTGTGCATGTCGCACAGTCGGCAAAAATAAGCTCTCAGCAGGGGAGGGCAGGGAGCGCCCTGCAGTGGGAGCAGGCGCCGTGAGCCTTGGCGCTGCTTGGCGGCTAACGAGGCTGCTCGTGACTGGGGAGTCGGTGCCCCTCCTCTGAGGCTCTGTCCCCAAGTGCCGAACGAGGAGGTTGGATCAGATGATCTCAGGGGTCCTTTTCAGCCCCACGGTGCTGTGATTCTAGGAAGTACGTCTGAAAGAAGGAGTTGAGAGGATCTGTTTCACACACCTGCTCTCAGTTCAGGAGCTAGCTGCTCCTATTAAGGTAGAAATTGGTGTTGAGTCGTGTGATTCTTTTATACGTACCCTGTTTGGCTGTGGAGACAGAGCTACTCAGCTCGTTTTCATAAGCCCTCTCTTAGTACAATGTGCGTTCTTAATAAGTCTGGCTCCAGTCTGCTGCGGGGTGTCTTGCTGGTGAGTTGGGCTGGTGGGTGAGGTTGGACACAGAGCCTTTGCTAATTCCCTTCCCTTTGGGTGACTGGGCAGAGTTGGACTTCTGGAGTGAGTTAGGCAACAACAGAGGCTGGCCTCTAGCTCTGGGAAAGAAGAAATTATTCTACAAGTAACTATGTCATTTTCTTTGGGGTTTCTGAGCTGCTGTGAAAATTGGACAAATGACACTTGTTCGCCAGAGTAAAATTACCTCTAGGGTGAGGTGAGTAACTAGTAACTGTTTGCAAATTCAGATCATCAAAGAGGTAGGATTTGCCAAGGCACAGTATATACAGGTCAGCACAGCAATTCTCAGCAGCCCTCGCTACTTACTCCCTAGGTACCCACACTACCCAGTGAGTAGTCGGGCACCGTCAGAGCATTGGGCGGCATCAGGCAAGAAGGTGCTTCCTTACTGTGCACCGGTTACCCCCATAAGTACGCACGTGGACATCCTCCAAAGAGAGAGAGAGAGAGAGAGAGAGAGAGAGAGAGTGTGTGTGTGTGTGTGTGTGTGTGTGTGTGTGTGAGAGAGAGAGAGGGAGAGAGAGAGAGAGAGATTGAAAGATTGAAACCAGAAGTTGAATTTGGGTGATTTCCCCCAGTGGATTGAAGTGTGAGACATCTCGTGCGGTCATTCATGTATCTATAAGATACTGAAACATAGAATGAAAGACCCTCAATTAGTGTTAACGAGGACCCTGGAACCCACAGAAGCAGTGTAGAGCCAGGACCAACCCTTGGGTCTGACACTCAGTTTGGTGCTCCATCATCATCATCATCATCATCATCATCATCATCTAAATGACACTTTAGAGTGGGTACAAAAGAATATTTGTGAAGTCTAAGCAGGGTATAAAGGATAACGCAGTAGTGACCACCAGGGTTCCTGCCACCCCGTTAGAGCAGACAGAATCACCATCACACGTGAAGTCCCTGCTGTGCTCACTCCCCACACCCAGGAGTAAACACTGTCCCTGAATTCCATGTTAATCATTCCTTGCTTTTCTTAATAGTTTCATCACACATGTTTACGGTCTTAACCCGTATGTTTAATTGTGCACAGTTGTGAACTTTGTGTAGATGGGATCTTGTTTTCTTCCGGGGCTTGCTTTTTCCGCTCACTCTTAACGTTGCCCTCGTTGGGTGTGGCTGTAATTCCCTCACTTTGCTTCTGCGTAGTATCTGGTTGTATGACTCTACCACAGTTTATTTATCCATTCTACTGTTAATGAATACTTGAGTCGTTTACGGCGTTTTGCTATTAAAAGCAGCACTTCCTGCGTGTGTTGTCTGGGGCACATGTGCGGCAGTTGCTCTAAGGTACATCCTTAGGAGGGGAGTTGCTGGGCCGGCAGGGTATTCACACACTCAGCTTCATTATTAACAGGCCACTCCACACTGTTCTCCAGTCGTCGAACCAGTTTGCACCCAGCTGCAGTTTATGAGTGTTTCATTCGCTCTACTCTTTTGCCAACATGTTGTCAGACTTTTACATTTTTGCTAGTCTGGTGGGTGTGAAACGTCTCTTTTCATATGTTTATTGGCCATTTGGGCTTCTTTTTGATTTGGAAGAGTGTGTTGTATATTCTATATACTTAGCCTTTGTTATGAGTGCTGTAAATGTCTTTTCCAAGTTTACAGCTTTCGATGACCATACATTTAGTTTCACGTAGTTGAACGTATCATTTCTTCTGTAGTTCGTGCTTCTTGTGCATTAGCAAAGTCTTCCCTGACCTGTGGGCATAAAGACAGTCTCCTGTATTTATCTAAAGGTGTTGCCATTCACACGTAGGTCTATTTTATAATCTTCCAGGAATTGATGTATTCGGGTAGAGAGAAGTCGGGCACCAAATTAATTCTGTTTGTTTCCTATATGGACATTGATTTGTCTCAGCATCATTTACTGAAAAGACTGACCTTTCCTTGCTGCTTTGAGACATCATGATGGTTGTAAATCAAGTGTGTGGTTCTGTTCTGGGCTGTCTGTTTTGTTCCCCGGGCAAAGGGCTAGACAAATTGACCAGCACCGTGGTGGCTCAGCTACCAGAGCTTCGGGGACTCCTTGCCTTCCCATCGGAAGTGTCCTGGCTAGAATCCGGTTCCACAAAAACATACAAAAATCTGTTGTGAGTTTGAGTAAATTTGCAAATCCCTTTAGGGAGAATTGACATCTCAAGATAATATCAAGTCTTCCAATTCAAGAATATTCTATTTCTTCATTTATCTAGGTCTTTCCTAATATATTTCAATGAAGTTTTATGATTTTAGCCATAAAGGTCTGGCACATCTTCTGTTGGGTTTATTCCTAGACATTTGATATTATAAAATTCTATTTAAAATAATATTTACACAATTACCTTTTCTGTCTGTTTTTGATACATGAAAATGTAATTGATTCTTATACATTGATTTTTTTTAGTACATTGACTTATTAACCTTATTAAATTCTTAATTAATTCTGATAACTTATCTGCAGGTTCTTTTTTTTTTATGTGGAGAGTTGTTTTTTGTGAATAATGACCATTTCCCCCCTAATCCTTTTTTTCTAATCCTTATAACTTTTATATATTTTTCTTACATTATTGCATTGGCTTGGACCAGCAAGTGCAGTGTTGAATTGGAACAATGAGAGAAACCACCGTTGTTTCACTGTTACTAGGATGTTCATTCTAGGTTTTTGAGTATTCACTTCTATTCCTGAGTTAAGAGTTTTCATCCTGATTAGATGTTGAATTGTATCAAATGCCCTTTTTGTATTTATTGAGATGATCATGTTTTTTCTCTTTTAAATTGATAATGTGTTATATTACATTAATTGATTTAAAATATGAAGTTACTCTTGCATTCCTGGAATGAACCCAGCTTTTACACATTGCTGCAGTTTGCATATGTGTACATATTTAGAATTTTTGCACTTATATTCACAAATGAGATTGGCCTACACTTGGCTCCTACTTTTCTTCTTTAGGTTCTATTTTTGAGGTTATGCTAGCCTCATAAAATGAGTTTGGAGATGTTCTCTCTTTGCTCCGTGGAGGACTGGCAGAACTCTGGTGAAATGATTCGTCCTTAGAGCTTTCTTTGTGGGGAAACCTGAAAGCACAGATTTTCTTTGTGTCTAGTGCTTTTCTGGGAGGGCTCAACTGACTTCAACGTATTTAACTTTTGAAGATATGGAAGTGTTCTTGGTGTCACTGCAGCTTTGACAGTTAAAAATAGTCTGATGCTAACGAAGCTTATCGTGCTAATCTATAATTTGTTTGTTTTAACAGAGAAGTGATTGAAAAGAAACCGGAAAAGTTTAAAGTCCAGTGTTTGACAGACATCAAGAACCTGTTTTTCCCAAATACAGAGCCCTTTTATGCTGCTTTTGGAAACCGACCGGCTGTGAGTAGTAGGTTGGGAACATAAGAACTGGTGAAATCGCTGCCTTTTCTGAAAACCCTGGCCTAGAACTGCATGGAAAGCCAGACTCTTGTCCTGTGAGGAGTAGTCTGGTAAATAGCCACTTGCACACAGCTGAAGACAAGGAGATGGAAAATTATTTTGTAGCCTCTGCCGTCCTTTGAGGGTTGACCAGTGGGTGGAAGCTTGAAATGTGGGAGTTGAAGCTCCATATTCCAAATGACTTGTTAAATGAGTAAAACAAGAACACTTCATATGATTGGATCCAGTCTCCCAGAAGGGAACCACAAAGCCAGTCCTAACCATAGCAGCGAATTTAGCCTCTCAAGTTTTAAGAGTACAATATTGTCTCATATGGTAGAAGAAATGCTTTGAGATTTTGCAGGCACTGCCCAAATTTACTGGAAAGTTCAGTATCCCGGAGAATATAGTTGGGTACTAAATGCTTACTCAGAAAATCCTGCTACTTTTGAAAGTCATGACAGATTTTCATTATATGGGAAAGTGGGTCAGAGAATAACCTTAAGGAATGTTAGAATTGCAGGGGACAGGATAGGTTGTCTACTCCTTAACTCAGTCCCTGAACAGATGAGGGAGTTGAGGCCCAGAGAGGAAACCTAATTGAATAGTTTCCCAGCCAAGGGTACTCCTTTGCTAGACCACTTTGAGGTGTAGCTCTGGTTCGTGAAAATTTGATAATATTACATCAAATCAGAAATATCATGTACTTGTTTTTACAATCAATTCTTTTTTCTAATTAAAACTTTAAATTATCTTTACCAAATACAGGATGTGTATTCATACAAGCAAGTAGGAGTGTCTTTGAATAGAATATTTACCGTCAATCCTAAAGGAGAACTAGTACAGGAACATGCTAAGACCAACATCTCGTCGTGAGTATTGTGCACATTTTATGTGCTTGCCTTGAAATGGTGCTTTACAGTTTACAATATACCATTTTTTTTTGTCCTTTGCTGTTTATATTTTAATCTTTAATTCCTATGAGGAAAAATGTATTTTAGCTCCTTGTATTTTGTTTAAAACTTAATTTTTAGAGAATTGGAATTAAATCAGATCCCCTCTGGGTTTAAAATTTCAACAAGTGGTTAGATTCTGCTACAGAATGGAATGGAATGAATTCGAAAACTAGTAGTTTAGATTTGCCAAGTTAGGTTTGAAAGCTAGAATGTGAATTAGAAATGTAACCAAATTGAAACATGTGAAGCTGTATTTAAAGATGAGGAATATACATCTCTTCACACACCAAATATTTCTTACCAGAAACGTTGCTGTGTAGTTGTTAAGAATCCCCCTCATTTTTTTTGGTCAGAGCCCAGTGATCCTGAATCAGTGGGCTACACTGGATTACTGCTTTTTAATGAGGCTCCCTGGGTTGCTGTAGACTCACGTCCTACTTTGGGTTCCCGACTTCCCAGCATGGAGAGCACTTCCTCGTTCTGCGTGCTGGGGGGTTGGCACTGCGTGACGACGTCAGCCCAGGTGGACCATTGTCTCTTTGCCTCGTCCATTTCAGAGGCTGCAATTCTTCTGGTCTGGTCTATGAAGACCTGGAACGAGTCTTTGGCCTGAGTGACCCCAGGGAGCCTGCTGGGATCCTATTTAGCTGGAGGAGTTAGACTGGGGGAGTTTGGATCTAGTGGGTGCCTAAGGATTGGTCTCCTCCAGGCACCTCCTGTGGTTTTAGACAGATGAGAGACCTAAGTTCCTCCAGGGCAGATTTTCACTTTCGAGATGAGGCTTATACCAGTGAGATTCTAAGCCAGCATCAAGAGGGCGGCTGTGGGCTAATGGGAGCGCCGGGGCTGCCCCATAAACCTCCTCACCCCACAGCCCTGCCAGTGGCCAAGGAGTCCTCAAGCTGTGTGGGGAGAGACGGTGAGCATCCCACCATCCTGCGGGAGGTGAGTCAGGGTCAGGCCGCGTCCCGACCGGCAGGAAAGCAGCAGGACTCGATTCCTTCCTTGGCCCTTCCCTTGCAGTTTCTGCCTCCTCCCTTGTTCTCAACGGCCGCCCCTCCCTCGTTTCCATGCATTGCGTTCTCACGTGGAAGGCTGTCCTTAGTCTGAAGAGCATCTAGTGGATTTCTTTTTAGGAACAAAAAGGACTTTCAACCAATGGGACGCTGCCCAGAAGTGGCAAAGTGGCAGGTCTTGTCATGACTTCTGTGGAAAGAGGCATTCCAGCACCTAAGAGGGTTTTCCTGAGAGGCCTCTGAGGTCACTGTGTTTGCTGAGACCCTGGGGTTACAGGGCAGACCTCTGCCTGGGAGCTCATTTACATATTGCCAAAGAACATTGTCACCTGACACCTGGACTAGGGATGGGTTTGTTCCCGTGAGAGTAACTCTCCTCCCTTGGGAAGCACACATTTCTCTGACACTGAACTGGGTACAACTATTTCTAAGCCCAGTAGGTGCTTGTCACTCGGAACCCAGGACAGTTGTCTGAAGCGTCTTGAGACGGAGGGACTGCCCAGGGGCAGAAGCTCAGAGCTTTGTCCCTGGAGTTTGTGTGCGTCAGTGCCTGAGCTCTGCCCACTCCGAGGGAGCCATGCAGATGGGGCTTTACCCACCGCTCATGGCACGTGAGAGCGGGTTTGGTTCTCGCACCCACCGCGGCCTGGCAGGGAACTGCTTGCTGCCTCCCGCCGCAGCCACAAACCACAGATAAATAGGCCTTAAAGCCGGGAGGTATTTTAAAAATTGGTTTGTTTGTTTTAATCCCCAGGAAAGACATAATTCTTGGTTTTATATTGAAAGACATTTTTCTCATTTTGTGCAAGCACGCTGTTTCTCATAAATCCTTTGGAGGTCCTGTATTAAATACACACACTCATCCTTATTTAGTAAGTTATTTTATGCCTCAGAACATGCTAATTCCTAGAGTTTGGGTTTTGAAAGCCTCTTTCAGCTCTTGCAGATTGGAACTAGAGAGGGACCTGGTGATGGTCCAGGAGGAATCTAGAGAAAGCTGCACGTGTCGGGGTCTCTCTTTGGAGGTGCCTGGAGGTCTGAACATACATATGCAGGATAGCAGCTTACTTTTTGGAGTATAGGCCCCAGAAACTAACACGCAACATATTCTCGGGAGTATGTAGATAACGGAGTGAGAGAATGTTGTAGGGAGCATTGAGAAACCCTGCTCTAGTCCAACTCCACATACCATAAAGATGAAGGACCTGAGCCCAGAGAGGGCAAAAGACTTGCCCAAGTTTGCACAGCAAGTAAGACAGGAGTAGATCCTACATCTCTGGACCCTCATTACAACTAGGGCGTTTTTCCCTAAAACATGTTAATAATTTGTTGTCAAATACATTTATTGAGTATTCAGTATACACTGTTTTATTGTGTGCATTATTTTATTTAATTCTCATATTAACACTGTGGCACAGTTTTCATTTTCCTCCCTTCACAGTGGAGGAAATTGTGGCTTAGAGAGGTTAATTCATTAGCCCAAGATCACACAGCTATTAAATGGCAGAGGTGAAGGTCAAATCTGTGTCTCCTTGCCCCCAGGGCCCACTGTCTGTCAGTGTACAATGACGTGATCTCTGTCCGGTGCCCCAGAAACGAGCCTCGCCTACCATTCCTCTCCTCCCCGAGGCCCCACATGTGCCGCCTACAGCAGGCGGCTGTCCCTTGGCCGTGCTGACTTCTTCCTGCCGTCCTCTGCCCCCTTCTGTCCTTCAAGGGAAGTCCAGTCCCGCCCTCCCCTTCCACGTGGCCCTCTCCGACCCTCCTTTGCATACTCTTCATTCTCGGCTCTGATTTCCGATCAAGCAGTTAGACATTATCTAGAATTGCCTCAGTCGTGTTAGGCAGGTGGTCCGCCCCCTGGGGTGGTAGATTCCTCCCATCTCCTAGGCACACCCTGTTCAGTGGCAATGACACACCTGTTTCCCTGCCAGGTACGTGAGGCTCTGTGAAGTGGTTGACCACGTTTTCCCACTGCTGAAAAGAAGCCATTCTTCAGACTTCCCCTGTTCGGATACTTTCAGTAATTTCACCTTTTGGAGAGAGCCACTGCCGCCTTTTGAGAACCCGGACGTTCATTCTGCCTCCACATAAAGCGCCGCGAGCGGCCTCTCGACAGCAGCGCGGAGCTGGCGAAGCCGGCGTCACCATTAAAGGATAGGTTCTGGGCGCCGTGCGGCTGCAGCTCGGGCCTGGCGTGCGGTCATTTGTTTCAGGGCAGAAAGGATTGAGACGCATCCCTACCCTGCCCCGACCAGGGAGTGACATTTCTAAGGGAACTGTGGAGAGTGCACTTCCTAGGCGAGGAGTCGGGCGCGTTCGTGGTGTGGAAGGCGTTCCTCGCCTGTGGCTTGACGCCAGTCACCATGCTGCATCCTGGCCTGCCCCAGCAACTAGTTATCGGTTCACGTGCAATACGGGCCTGCGAAACCAGGCAGAGGGTCCGAAGGGCTGTCCCCACTGGTCACAGCATCAATGGAGGAGCGCACGGTTCTTGGCAGAGGAGGGGGCACATTTCCGTCGTAGCCATGTTTGCCCTACCTGCTTCCGCACACAGTGGGGAGGGCTGTGAAGGGTCATGTGACCTGAATCCAGGGTTTCAGAAGGGGATCCAGACCTCCCTGGGTTTGGGCCTTGGCCGTGGCCTTGTGATGTTCCCTTGCAGTATTTGCCGACTAATCTCATTTTTAGGTGATAAGTTCTTCTTTAACTCCTTTGGCTAAAGGTAGCCTATTTAAGTGGCATATTTTCCCCATTTTTTGTGGCTCAAGGCTGGAATATTTATGCCTTAATGCATCTGTGGCCGACATTTTATTTAGAATGCGCTGTATCTAGCTCTTGGTAACTTTGGCAATGCCTTAAATTAAACTGATAGTGAATATTACTAAGGCAGTATTTCGAATGAGTCGATGGGAGCTTGAACGAGCTTATGCCAAATGACAATGATGTCGACTTTTATCGCGAGGTCTCAAAAGAACTCGTTGGTTTTAAGAAAATAGTTTCGAGAAGTTGAATTATATTCTTTGTAGACATTATTTATTGCTTTACTCTGAGTAAGTTACTGCCACAAACATTTTATTCATATTCTTTCTATACAACTGTCACTAATATATTAAAAGGATTATATGTCAGACTATCCAACGAGCCTTATTCTGTGTATGTCATAGACTGACCTTCCTTTGGCATTTATAAGTAATTTATTTTCCTTAGCTTTTTCCACTCAAATTAAGGGCAAGTGAAAAAGCAGTAATTTGAGTGACACTCGTTAAGCCAATAGAGGACGATTCTTTTACTTGCTTATTAGATTGGTTTGTGGAGAAAACAATTTGAAAAGTGAAAGAATTATTTTGGTAAAAGATTTTGCTTTAATTTTTGACGTCTTATTTTTTTAAAGAATGTTTTACTCCGATGATTGAAGCACTTTCCTATGTAAAGTTCATTGTTAGAGTCATAGGAGGCAAAAAATGGAACAGTTGAATGAAATTTTACTCTTTCTGTGAAAGAAAATCCACAGAGCTGTTGCCTTCGTTGTAGCTGGTGGACTCTGTTGGCAGCAATGCCTTTCTGAACGGTTCCTGTGGGCACACGGAGAAGGGCAGACATACGTGTCGTGGATCACAGATTTACCTAGAATCACAGACGTGCATGTGCGGATTCCCTTTCAGAGGTATTAAAAATAATTTAAAAATAGCCCTGCCTTAACTATTAATAACTCCTCTGGGCTTGTTCACTAGAATCATTAGAGGCTACATTAATTCTTTCTTTCATGAGGGTATTTTTGAGTGAATTTCAGCTATCGTGAACTAAGTATAAGCTCCTGGGCCTGCAAAGGTTTGCCCAGTTTCTTCCTCGCACCCAGGAGGAACCTTGGCTGCGAGACCTGGTGGTGCCTCCTTCGTGCAATTCGCCTGTCGTCGGGACGAGCCTCTGCAGTATGCTCTCCAGGTGGAGGTGTGAGAGCATGCGGCTTTGGACTCTAATTTTGATGCATCCTAAACTTCCACATCGCTGCAGCCTGAAACAGAGGCATGCCTTCCAGAAAGTCGTACTCTCAGAACTGTGTAAGGTTCCGAGTGAGCCCCGGCAAGGCTGTAATGTTAACACCCGCCTTTTGGCTTCTGAAAATGAGATTCGTATGTGGGCTGCACTCATGCATATGTGAGTTGGTTTACCTGTGTGTACACAGCTATAACCCAGTGATGCTGAGGTCACCTGCTGGAATGCTATATTTGGACCACATATTTCACAGTCGCCCTTTGGAAATGAATCACACCATTGGGACAAGTCATCAGACATTCATCATATGTGATAAAGAACAATATATATTCTTGGCATAGAGAAAAATAATACACCTGGTACATTGGAGAAAAATGATTACACCTTCAAAGAGAATTCCCCTTTCAATTTTAGGTTTGGATCACCACTTTGAGTATATTTTATTTACAGCGTTTGATCTGTATTTGTATATGCTGGTGCAATGATAAAAATCACTGTACTGCTTCATTACATTGAAGTGGAAGCAAAGCTAGAAAATACTGTAATAAATGAGACTGATGAAAGACTTCTGTGAAAATCAGGCATGTGAATTCTAAGTAGTTTTTGATAAGTTATTAAGTTGTTGATTTTCTAGTGTGTGTTATCAAGCGTATTTATTCTCTACTGAAAAAAAAAATCCTTCCAGCTATAAACTGTTCACTATTTTGATGTTTTAGATTCAAGTGGGTAAAATACCAGCCCTCTCTGTGCACTTGGAAGGGGTGGGAAGGATGGAGAGAGGAGAAGGGTCCCCTGCCCTGGCGGGGGATGATCGTGGAGCGGGGAGGTTTCAATCAGAGGGTGTCCAGGAAGTGCCCCTCAGGCCTGGCCTGGAAGGAATCGGGGTTGGATGATTCTTGCCTCACATCTGCTGCCCTCATTTTTTGTACCCTCGACTTCTTCTCTGTGGTGTACCCCAGATTTATTTTTTATTTTGACCAAATCAATCAGAATCCTTGACTAGCTCAATCATCTAAGCTGAAAACTGTCATAATTCCTGTTGATTTTGCACACTGTCGACAGGCGCAGCCTAAGTGTTTCTGAAATAAATGAAAGAGTATTGGTCTCTAAATCCTTATCACATAGCTGCTCAAGATACTCGACTGAGTTCCTCACGAAGCCCAAATCCAAACAGTTGATCTTTGGGCGTCTGTAGAATTAATGCTTGCGCATCCGAACAAAACAACACAAACCCTCTCATTGTGTCGATTTGTTCCAACTCTGACTTCACTGTGTAGGCTTTTTAAATCTGTAAAATAAAAATTTGTCTGGACCGTCTGTGGCCTGTCGACTCCCATACGCTGTCGTGGCTCTGCGGGCAGCCCTCACGCGTGTGCAGGGAAGGTGAGTTCGGTAGCTTGGATTTCCCCAGTATCACGGCTGTAATCACCTGAATATTTAAAATGCTTTGTAGTTTGGTTTTCAAACACACCCCCAACGGTTGTGTCAGAGGCCGAGGAACGTTGACGACGGGGCCATGGGCCATCAGCTTTGGGCCTCCGAGTGCCCTTTCCAGGGAAAGGTACCGCATGCGGCCCTAGTACAGTCCAGAAACAGGAGAACTGCCGAGGAGGAAAGCTAAGTCGGCCCCATTGAAAAAGTTAAAAACAAGCTGCCCGAATCTCCATTTCCTCATCCTAGCAGGAGTGCGTGGGTGCCGACCCCGCTGCTCCCAGAGCAGACCCGCCCCTCTCATCTCCGCCTCCCTCTGCACATCTTCAGACCCCGGGGGAGCCACACTGTGCTCCGCCCCTGCCTTAATCTAAGAGAAGGTGGTTAAAATGCCACTGGGTTTTCTGCCTTTCTGTTTCTGACCCCTTTTTCAGCTCCTGCTGCATCAAAGGTGGCGATCAGTGTCACTTCTATTGCAAGCCAGGCAGGGGGCTTGGTACCTGAAAGAAACCAGCCTCTGAGCAGACAGAAGCTGACCCTGGAAGTCAACAGGCCCAAATGGCCACCTGGGGGCACAATTGGTTTGGGTTTGGCAGCACAGCCTTTAAAAAAGTCTCTGCTGTGACAAAGGCTACTGTCCCTGTAGTGCAGGGCCTGGAGACCAGGCAGGTTGTGGACTGGACTTGTGGGGAGAAGGGGTCGTTTCTCAAGGGGGGACAGTTTTGGTACCAAAGTGCTTCCAGTTAGCACAGCCCGAGGTCAAACACCACTAACTGGCTTGGAAGAGGGAGCAGTCTTTGGCTGTTCGTCTGCATTTAAAAACCATTTGAATCTGTGGTTCTCGAAGTGTAGCCTCCCAGCCTGCAGCTCCCGGGCCCTCCCCCCAGACCTGCTGAGCCACACTGGGCGTGGGGCCCAGCAATCTGGATTCTGATGCACGCTTGAGTCCGAGGAGCACGTTCTAGATGATAGAGGGGAGCCCCCGATCCTGCTCCCAGGTAGCCTCTTTTGTGTGGCTGCAGCTCCCCTCTGACTTTCATCTGGCCTTAGAGCTCACACAGACCTGCCGCAGGAGGGAAGCCTCTGGAAAGATCCTGGTGCCTCAGCCACTCCTGAAAAGGAGCTTGGAAACTCAATACAGGTGCTCACTTGAGTCACAAGGTGTCGTCGTGATCCTTTAATACACAGCTGCCGGACTAAGCCACCTTCCCAGGGATCTCAGATGTGAGAGGGTCCGGGCCCCCGCAGTCTGGGGTGTGTGTGTGGGGGTGGGGTGCGTGTGAGGGAGCAGACCTGGGCCGTGCCCAGATTGCTAATGGCTCCCTTCCTCCCCCAAATCATCAGAGCCTCGAGGTGCCTGTCCTGGTGCCAGCCCTCTTTTCATTGGTGCAGGAAGTCCATTCAGCCCTGCATTGCTTTTAATGAGTTTTGCAAGCAAGTGGCCTCTTCCTGTGACTCATTCTGCCTTTTGTGCACCGGAGATTGTGGTTTTAAGTTTCACTTTGGAAAGTAACCGCTACTGCTGCTGCTTTCTCCTCTGCTGGAATCTGAACAAGTCGCATTCATTTTGCAACAAAGAAATGTAAATGTAGGAGCCCGCCAGTCATATTTCTGCTCTGATTGTAAAAACATCCTTTTCCGAGATGGTTGACAGAGCCAAGCTAAGAAGAAATGGTTTATATTTCCAAGTAACACGTTCATTTGGGGACCTCATATTTTTCCTTCCAGCGTGGCTCGATGGTTTTGCTTTTGTTCTTTGTCTTGATTCATATTTCAGGGAGATCCTAAAAAATAATCGGTGTTTGTTGGTCGAGTGAGGTGGGTTAACCTCTGATGTATTGAAGGATACTTGGTTCTGGACCAAAGTTTGTGTCCTTGCTTTCATTTGGCACACAAAGGCTGATGATGACAGGGATAATTTCTTATACAATAAAATG